CAGCCTGGCTCTGTTAGCCACTGCTTCATTTGCCCCTGGATCTCCAAAGGGAGTCATTTAGTAGGGCACCTTACCAGATTTGGGCTCCAATCTAATTGCATACCAAAATCTGCAAGTCTAACAAATACCAACAGCAAAAAAAGGGTTAAAAACATCTCCCTCATGACTCTCCCAGTAGCTGCAGACTTGAGGAAACAGCTTCTCTCCTTCCAAACAGGCTGCTCTGCCTTGTAACCTCTCTGGAGCCAGAAGCCTCTCTCCTGCCCTGCAGAACAGCTCAGTGCTTGCAGGGGCGCAGCTGACATGGGGCATCCAAAGCTGCTCAGGGATGGTTTGATTCTCACTCTTGGCAGAGAAACCCTTTCTCCTTGTGTTTGAGAGGTCATGATGCACAAGTGAGAAGGGGATACAGGCCGACAGTCTGAGAACCAGCTCTGCTGGCACCAGCATCCTTGGAAAAACTCAGCAAAGCCCTGGCTTACTAAAGGGGGATAGAGAGTGACAGTGACAGCCACTGTCCCACTGCCCACAGAGCTTTGCTGTGGTGGACAGAGAGCTGGCGAGGGCAGGGGCAGGACCCCATCCAGCAGTGCTCAATGCCCTGAGACCACCAAACAGCTGCACAGCATTTAGCCCAGGCTTGACGTCAGTTCCTGCTCACAGCTGTCAGGGGCTTGGCAAAACTCTGCTGTCACCCATCTTCTCCTCCCTTCCCCCTGCCTGTCACTGGAGGGGTCATAAACTGGCATCCTTCCTTCTACATGCAATGAGCAGATGCCAGTTTTTCACTGGGTGAAGGAGGTTTCCACATCTGTTTGGGTCCATCTCCTCGTCCTTCCCATAGGACAGAATCCCCCAGCCCCCCGTTGCCTGTGGCCGTAGTGGGAGTCAGAATCTCCTCTGCCATATCGCACTCCTGCTCTAACCCTTCTCATTTTTCAGCACAGCTTTGCTTGAAACAGTGGCACAGCCTGCAAACCAGGAATGGTGGTGGAGCAAGGCCTCCTTCCCAATTCATCACTAATGCAGGAACGTCAAGCCCTTTCTGGCTGCACTGAGCACCAGATAAAAGCTAAAGGAGGCATCAATAATTAAGAACCACTCAGAGCTGGTAAGTGCAAACAGGAGCCAACATACAGATCGAAGCCAGTGCCAGAGACCAGAGTCTGTCAGCTGCTGGGTTGCTCTGAGGGCTCCCACTTCTCTTTTGCAGGCATCCCCCAGTCCACAGCCCCGAGGTGACAAGATGTCCCTGGCACCAGGGGGGGCCCAAGGGACTGCAGGGAAGAGCGATGCACAGGAGCATGGCAGGAGGGACCTGGGCTTCTGCCTGTCCCCAGGGGCTCTGGGGACATGTGGCTTTGGAGAGTGAATGCCAGCACTGGGGGCTCGGGGATGGGCACCTGCAGTCTGGTCCCAGGAGCATGGGTCAGGACACTGAAGAACCTTGATTTCTAGTACAGCTGTGGCTTAGCTCTCACCACCTTGATGCCAGGTCCTTTCTCAGTTTCCCTTCTCATCTCATTTTCATTCTAGGACAGAATCCAGCCAGGATGAGGCTCCTCTTTGTGCCAGATGCTGGTATACACAGTCTGGGAAATTCATGTTGTCTGAGGGTGCCATGAACTCATCCCTGCTGAGTTCAAGGCTCCTCATTCAAGTATGCAAGTGAGAAGCTGAAAACAGGATGATTTGGAAATGACGGGTGGCTGCAGGGAGTCCTGCCCACCCTCAGCATCTCTGAGAAACACAATGGGCTCTCACCTTGACCATGCACTCTACAGATGTGCTGGGAGCAGGAGGCTGTGCCTGGGGAGAGGAATGACTCAACCCACAGCACAGAGTTGGGACAGAGCTGGGGCTGCCCTTCATGTCAAGGACAGGAGGCTGTGTATTCCCCTGCCCCAGGCTGGTGTTTGGGGAGGGAGCTGAAAGGTAAAATCACTGGGGTAATTCCAGCAGCAGCAACCTCCTTTGCTTGGATCCAGATTCAAATGGAGCTCCTGGGTGTCCAAAGCCTTTGTCCTTTGGGCTATACACCAGGCATGAGCGTGTGGCTGCTGTGGGAGGGGGCCAGGCCCGGCTCAATGTCCTCAGCAGTGGTGGGTCTGGGCCGTGTTTGCTGCCCCGCACCTTGTCCCTGTGCCAGGGGGACCAGCAGGACCAGTTCCCCTCCCTGCTGCTCCTGGAGGCCTGGGGATGCCAAGGGTTAACTGCTGTTGATTTCTCCCCAGTCCAAGCACACACTGAAGCGAAATAATCTCTGGGTTACAGACAATAATCTCTGGGTTACAGGCGGTGCTGCTCCAGGGCCCATGTCAATCACTAATGGGACTGAGCAAAAAGTGTGTGACATCCATCAGTCCAGAGCTGCCTGTTCCAGGTTTACCTGTGTCACTTTCAGAGACAGGAGAGCAGAGAAACTGCCTAGGGAAAACCAGCAATTTTTGGTGAGGAGTTTTGAAAAATGCTGCGAAGTGTCTTCTCAGTCTCCCCTTCCCTCGGAACGCAATCTGAAATATTTCCAGCTTTTGAAAAACACTTTCCTTAAATAAAAACCCTACAACTCTCCCAATAAGGCAACAAACAAAAAACCTCCAAAACTTTACATTTGAATAAAAATATGTATATTCATATGTGCAGATATATGATGCACACACAGAGACATATACATGCCTGCACAAAAAGGAGGGTTTTATGAGGCTTTTGAGCTAGTGGCTGGCTGGTGTCCATCCCTGCCTGTATCAGTGAACCTACCTAGTGAACGAACACCTGTGACCAGGGAAGGTAAACGGGCAAGTGCTGGGGCTGACAGAGTCTGGGGCCAACCTGGAAGGGGAAAGGGGATGGCGTGGGGGCAAGAGGAGAGACAGCCTCCTGTGCCCACCACCTTGCCCCTGCTGCCAGCATGCAGCAAGTAAATAACAAAATGAATAAGAGATTAAGATGAAGTTCGAGGCATTAAATATTTAGCCTTGTGCCTGCCTGTGCAGTGCCCAGGTACAGCTGGGTCCTGCAATATTTAAGGGTCCTTCACTCGCCTTTACCACCCTCGAGTGCGGGGACTGCACAGCAGCTGCAGCTGGAGGTTCGCGGGGGACAGGGAAGGGACCCTTGGCGAGTTCCCCTCCGGAAGCTCTCGGGACTCTGCGGGGCAGAGCGGAGCATCCTCGCCGCGCTCCCCGGGCAGGGGCAGCCCCAGGAAAGCCGAGCCCCGCGGCGCGGCAGCTCCAGTCCCGCCCGAGCCGCGGCCCCGCCGCCCCACGTTACTTTGAGTGGCAGCTGGCGGCAGCCGCAAGGCCTCGTGGGCCGCGCAGTCTGCCCTCCCGGGCCACCCGCGGCGGAAGCCCTGCCCGCCCGTGACCCCGGGCCAGGCTCCGCGGCAGCGCCGGGCCGGACTCCCCGGACCCGCAGAGGCGGCGGGCCGGGCGGGCTCCGTGCGATGCCGCATCGAAGGAGCTGCCGATGGCGGACTACAACTCCCAGCGTGCCCCACGACTCATCCCTCAGGACTCCACCTCCTCACTCACATTTTATTGGCCATCCTGGGATGTGGCGTCACGAGCCCATGTGGGAGCAGGGCAGAGCGATTGGCTGGCGCTCCCGCAGCGGCAGCCAATGGCAGGCGCGGCTGCCGGCACGGCGGGCCGTGGGGCCGCTTAAGGTGGAGCGGGCGGAGGGGGCGGATCACGGCGGGGATGTCCCGGCCCGTCCCCGCCCGATGGGGCTACACGACCTCCCCGGGCAGACGTGTTTTCAATCCTTTACTAATAAAAAGGAGCAAAAGAGGTATGGTCATGGGCAGGGGCCTTTGCCAGCCAGTTGCTGCCAACTCTGCAGAGGGCTGGGCTGTGAAATGTAGCACCAGGGTCCTGCTTTTGGCCAGGAGCAGGGGTATGGCCATTCCCACATTATCAGAGCTGTGGCTGCCCACCTGCCACGAGCCCCAGCTCTGGCACAGCTGCAGCAGCAGCCTTAGCTCTGTGCTGGCTGTGGTGAGCTATGGCTCAAGGCTAGGCTCGGGGCAGGAGACTAAAGCAGCTGCCACATCGCAGCTGGCAGCACGGAGCTTCCCTGCCAGCCCTGGCCATGGTCACTGCCAGTGCCCAAGGTGCTCGGGAACAGCCCTGCTTTCCCATAGCAGTGCTGCCGGGAGGCCAGACTGATAAGGCAGCACTGATTGCTCACATCTCATTTCCTTCAAAAACCACTTCCTCCACCACTGGCCTCTCCCAACAGCCCACAAAGGCTGCTCCAACAACCAGAGCCACTGCCACACTCAGGTCTGTGCCTGCACCGCCAGCTGCGCTTGGGTCTCCCCACCCCACACAGGACCAGGGCTGAGCCCTGCCAACAGCAGAGCTGCCACAGACCTGCCCTGGCACAGGAAAGGAGCAGCAAATTGTGGTAGCCAAAGGGAATGAGGCCGCTGCCCTGGTCTCACTCATCCTCACCTGGCTCCATCCCACCACCATGGAGCACTGCCCAGGACAAGGCACAGCTACCTTTTTTTTGGTTTGTTTTTATTATTAAATATACCCTGTCAGGCACAGAGGGAAATGAGGCCAGAGCCCATCCACCTCAGCAGACCCAGAGCCTTAACAAAATAATGCCCCCCCCCAAACCGTTAAAACCAAACAAAAATAAACACCCCAACAAAACCCCTAACAATGCCAGACACACACCCCTCCCCCCCCACCTCCTCCAAGTCCCATAGTCTAGATTTAGAAAGAAACTGACAAAGAACAAAGCAAGGAGAAAGTCCCCAGGAAATCCACCCCGAGCAGCCCACATGATGCCTGGCCATGGTCCCAGGGCCACCTTCACCCCTCTCTGCTCTCCTCCAGCTGGGATGCTGCGGCCACAGGCTGCATGTTCTTTGGGAAGTCAGCAGTAGGGCAGGTAGAGTCCACCTGTCCATCCACATGGACGCCCACCTGTCCTGCAGTTGGCACCTCTTGTGCTCAATAAATGATCTCATAAACTGTAGCTTTCTTGTCCCCTGAGCCAGTCACAATGAACTGGTCATCCGTGGAGACGTCGCAGCTGAGGACAGAGGAGGTTTCCTTCGACTGGAGAGAACAGGGATAAGCACAAAAGAAGCAGGCCCAGAGCAAGTCCCCACTCCTTGGGACTCTGACCCTGAGTTGCACCCGGGGAGGCTGCAGGGACGAGTTTGTTTATGGGGTTCGTTATTGCTAACACACATTTACAGCCAGCTTGTACTGGGCAGCTCTTGGTAGTCACACTCAGAGGAACCCCCAACCCCACTGTCCCTGCACGCCCCACACCTGGAAGATGCTGGCTCCGTAGGGTGTCCGCCAGGCGTTCAGCAGGTTGTCCTTCCCCGTGCTCACGAACCACTTCCCTGTGGAGGGACAAAGGAGCCTCGTGTCACCAAACCAGGCCCAGCAGCTGGATTTCAGCAGAACATCCTGCCCAGACTGTGGAACACAGGGTGTGGACAAGGCAGCCAAGTCTTTGCTACCCAAGAGCCAAAGGGCTGTTTTCAGGAACACAAAGGGGAGTCCTGAGACAACAGAGCTGAGCGTGCAGCTGCCAGCGCTGCTCCAGGAAGGACAGATGCCCCTTCTCTGATGGATACAACTGTCATCCACTGGGGACAAGGCTGACTACTGGAACCAATGGTTGCCCCCAGTGCAATGAGCCCTGTGACACACGACCAGAAGTAGAGGTGGCATCCATGAGGCTCCAGAGAAGGAAGGCCAGGAGAGGCGTGCCTACCACAGGAGGCAAATTTGAGGGAGAGGACACAGCTTTCGTGGAGGTGCAGCTGGTACTTGTCAGGTTTGGTGACGTGCAGGATCTCCACATTACTGCTCTCCATCCCCACCGCCAGCCACTCTCCCGTTGGGCAGTAGCCCAGGGAGAAGATCTGAGGGGAGAGACAGGGTCAGACAGTGACACGGCAGGTCCCACCTCGCCCTGTGGTGCTCCCAGCTGGCCCCAGCCCCACCTGGGAGCTGAAGTCGTGCTGCTGCAGCTGGCGCCCCTCCCGCAGGTCCCAGCAGCGCACAGTGTTGTCCAGCCCCCCTGTCCACAGCTTGGTGCCATCGTTGGAGATGTCAATGCAGCTGGCACCATCTGTGTGGCCTTGAAACTGCCTGGGAAAGAAGGGGATGGAGAAGGCAAGAGTATGGCTGTCAGGGTGGCCAGCATCTGTACCACAGAATGTGGCCAGGGCAGCACCCAGCAGTGAGAAGCAGGAGATCCCTGCTGCAAGGATAGGCACTGTCCCATCGCCAGGGTTAGACACAGGAAGGGGTGGGGACATGTTGCAGGGCAGCGGGTGGTCCCTGGCCTGAGGAACCCCCAGCAGCTATGCCTGTGCTCCCCCCTGACTGACTCACCTGACCAGGGTCTGGTTCTGCAGGTCCCACACTACGATGTTGCCATCGCTGCAGCAAGAGAAGCAGACTTTGGCATCAGGGCTGATGGCCAGAGCGTAGCAGGCGGGGGCAGAGGAGGTGAGCTCAGCCTTGATGCGGGGTGTGGGGGCTGCCAGGTCCCAGATGGAGAGGGTGCTGGCCTCCCCCCCCACAATCAGGCTCCGGCCATCCGGGAGTAGTTTGCAGGAGCGGATGTAGTTGTCACGGTTCTGAATTGGGGTTACAGGGAATGGGGCAAGTGAAGAAGGAGCTGATAAGTGCTTGGGGGGTGTAGGAGACGGATCCCCTTTTCTCATACAGATGGGAAAGGACCCTCTGTCTCTTCCACTGCAACAGGGGCACATTTCCCTTCCCAGCCCCCTGCCAAAGGCCTTTCTCCTCCTCCTCCTCCTCCTTACTAGGCAGTCAAGCTGAGCCACGGCTGTCTTGGTGCCCGGCTGCCCCACATCCCACACCTTCACGCAGCCCTTGCCCCCCGTGTAGACATGTCGTGTGGAGTTGCTGATGGTGACAGCGCAGACCACCTCGCCGTGGGTCAGGGTGTGGAGCTGCCGTGCATGGCGGGGGATGCCAGAGCCGATGAGTGCGTCAGGTGGAAAAGGCACCGGCTGCATCTGCCCGTCGGCACTGACATGGAAGGAGTAGGCACTGGAACGGAGCAGAGCAGTGAGAGCCAGAGGAGAATCCTGCAAGGTCAGTAGCCGGTGCCACGTGGGTCCCAGCGGGTCTGACAAAGGGAGCACGTTTTGGGAGTTGGAGCCATGAGCGGAGCGTGGCCAGTGATGCCAGTTGTGCTCCCCACCCCAGCTGGCCCTGGCTTGTCTACGCCACCCAGGTTCAGCCCCACAGGTTACCTCATCCCCTGCCCCAACACAGGCCCCAGCCCAGCCCGACCCCACTTACGGCTTCCCCGAGGTCCCCACTTGTATGCCAGCCACCAGCCCTGGGATGCGCATGTGGGGGTGTGGGTCGTAGCCCACCTGAAGGGGACAGCAGGTGAGAGCAGCTCTCACTCCGTGGCCCCCACAGCCCCACGGGGAGCAGGTCACGCACCAGGGGGGAGCGTCCGTAGCTGCTGGCTCCCATGGCGGCTGCAGCCCCGTTGAGCTGCGGGGACATGAGGTGGAGGCTGGCGTAGGCACCAGTCCCGGCCACATCCCCATTGACTGCAGGGTGGGCCAAGCCAAAGGCAGCCGAGTAGGGACTCTGCACTCCCAGTGGATTCCTCAGGCCCAGGGCTGACGGGGGAGAGGCAGTGTGAAGGGACACGGAGTGGGAGACAGCGCTTGGAGACACCCGCCCGGGCCCCAGAGGGGCCAAGCTCACCCAGGGGGTCTATAGGGGCCTTGGCAGCAGCAGGGCGAAACTGCTGGGCGCCACTGGAGCCTGGGGCCGCAGAGTCGCCCTGGGAAGTAGGGGTGCTGGACTTCAGGCTGGGCGTCCCTGCCTTCTCCACCTGCCAGGAACAACAAGAGGATCTGACAGCTGCACCCTGCCAGGGGGCCTCCTCAGGTGCTCTCCAGTAAGCTGGTCCCTGTTCCGCCCCCTCAATGACAGCCTAGCCCAGCCCAGCCAGCACTGCAGGCTCTATGGGACAGGACATGAGCTGGGATCTAACAGAGCAGGAGCCCCGTCCTGTCCCTCCAGCACTGCCTTTGCTCCATGGGTTTGGAGGCAGGTGGACCCACGTCCGGCCACTCTGTCAGCCAAACCTGGGCAGCAGGGACACAAGCACAGGCCCTGAGTGAAGCACCCAAACTGCCCCAGGCACTGCACGTACTGTGGGCGCATCCTTGCTCCGAGATGGGGAGCTGCTGGAGGAGGCCATGGAGGTCGGGCTGAGCGGCATGGCCTCCTTCCTCCCCAGTGGGACCTTCTCCACTCCGTTCTCCCGGGATGAGTAGGAGTGGACGCTGTGCGGTGAAGAGGGGTCCTGGGGGTGGGAGAAGGAAATCAGCAGGCAGCAGAACAGGCAGGAGTGCAGGGACGTCCCAGGTCATGGTGAGCTGGTGGCTCGAGCAAGGGCCAGGCTAGGAGCCTGAATCCGGGGGCTTACTGCTGCCGTTGGCGAGGGCCGGGGAGCACAACTCAGGGGTACCACTGGCACCTTCCTGTGATACCCACCTCTGTCTCTAGCAGTTTGTTAGCCCCCAACTCAGGGACAGACAATGCACACTGACCCCAGACCCCTCCCAGCTGGCGCACTGACCTCATCCACCACCAAGTTGTCCTCACTTTTGTCTGCATCGCTGCCCTGAAACACAGAGGACACTTGAAGACAAAGGGGCTGCAGCCACCCTTGCTCCTGCCTGGGGATGCACCGGAGGCAAAGGCAGTTCCATTCTTTGCCCCACAAGAAGGGATGGGGCCATCCTGCGCCCCCAAGCCCCAGGCTCACATAGTCTGTAACGAAGTCCTTCTCTTCCACCTTCCTTTTTTTGCTGCTGCTCAGATACTCAGCGATGGCTCGCGCCCGTTCCCCATTTGGCAGTGCCACGGAGCTCTGGGGCAGGGGGATGCAGTGTTAGCGGCCGGGGGTGCTGTGCCCGGCTCCTGGGACAGGCAGCACCAACACGGGGCTGCAGCTGACTCCTGGAGCACTGAGGGCCCCAGCGCAGCCCCCATGTCCTGACTGCAGCCTGTGCCGTGACAGAATGATGCAAGAGAAGGAAAAAGCACTTACAGGGCCGGGGTCTCGGTCTGTCGCTGTGGCAATGCAGAGGCGCAGCAGGAGGAGGAGGGAAGCGGGGACATGCTGTGCCACCACCAAGAGACCCCCAGGAAAGTCACCCGCTTCTCCCGTGGGTGCTGGGGTGCTCACAGCAGGGCTGAGCCAGCATGACAGCAGCAGGGTGGTCCTGGGCCCCCACCAGGGATGACCCCCCACCAGCCCACCTCACCACCCTTCCAGGAGGTGCTGCTCAGTGGGGGATGTGCTCCACACCCAAACCCCTCACGGCTGCCAAGACCCCTGCCCCTCCTGCCAAGTCAGCAGCCCCGAGTCATGGACAAGGGGCCCCCCATCCATCCCTGGCTCCCACCCTGGGGAAGTGACCAAGCAGGAAGATCATGGGGAGCAGAGGCAGCTCCAGGGCCCTGCACCACCTGTTCCCAGGTTCACTCAGATCCGACTGCACCCAGCCTTGGCTCCCCCCACACTTACCCCTGGGCTCCGCGTCAGGGACTCCTCGGTCATCCTTGGTGAGGAGCTGGGCCTGGGCCCCCAGTGCCCCCGAGAGTGCCAGCAGCCCTGAGGCACTGCTGATGCCAGCAAGGCCAGTGGGCTGCAACCCAGAGGGGTGGGGGGTCAGCGGGATGGGGGGAGCATGGTGCGAGAGGTGCTGGGTCTGGAGCTGGTGCTGGAGAGGAGCAAGACGAGAGAGAAATCGAAGGGCTGTGCCAGGACAGCTGCTGGGCACAGGGGGAAAGAGACAGCCCTGGGTCAGTCAGCAACAGGACTTGGGTGAGGAGGGGCAGGGCATGCACCCAGGGTGCCCCCAGCCACAGTGTGGGCGCCACCACGTCCCTCCCACTGACTCCTCCCACCCTGTGACAGGAGCTACCGGGGGACCCCACCGGTACCCAGAGCACTGTACTGCTGCATTCTCACGGGAATAACCGAGGAGTGGGGATGGTGGCAACCCCCCTTTCACCCAGGCCACAGGGCATCAGGACACAGGGACATGCACCAGCCACCACCTCCACACCCAGCCGCATCTCCTCCATCCTGAGTACTGCTGGTAGCCTCCCAAACTAGCCTAGTTTGCCCTTCTCCTCCCCCGACTCAGCTGTGGGTGGGAGAAGGCACTCAGGGCAGGGGCCACAGTTGCCTGGTGTGCCATGGGCAGGAGGAGTCTTCAGCCCAGGGACAGCAGGAACCCAGGAGGTACCATTGTCATGGAGCACAGCACCCCAGGCCCAGGAGTAGCAGGAAGGGTGGGCAGAGGGTTGACGTACCCCAATTGCCACGTTCAGGTCGGTCATAGTCACCTGCTTCGCACGCTCCACAGCCTGGACCACTTGCTGCTGGTGCTGCAGGGAGAGAAGAGAGGAGCTGGGGCAGGCTCATTTCTTCAGCGAATGGGGCAAGGCCAGCTCCCCAGCCCAGAGACCAGGGCTCCCAGGGCCCCAAAGGACCTCTGCACACCTGATGGGGCCAGAGGGCTCACCCACCTCTTGAGACAGGAACGGGATGAGCTGAGCGCAGATCACATTGAGCCGCTTGGCGATCTCCGTCTGGCAGTGGAAGAAAAACAGTGCCCATCAGGGCAAGGGGCAGAGTAGCCCCCACACTGAGGGGCCCCAATGCTGCAGGAGAATCCACTCCCCATGGGTGCTGCACAGGTGCCACCCAAGCAGCTTCAGGGTACTGGCAGTCAGCCCCAGGGGCTACTGCTCAGCACCAAGGAGCAGAAACACCCCAGGGGATGTTTCTGGAGAACAACTCTCCTTCCTAACAACACCACTTCCAAAAACCAGTATCCTCCATCCCCACCCTGAGAGCCTGAGGACGGCTTCCACCTCCTATCTGCCAAGGACATAAAGCCCCATGGCCCATGCCATTGAAGGCCACCCCCAAGGAAGCCCCTAGCCCTGCAGCCAGAACCCCAGCAGGCTCACCCCCACCCCCCATGCAGCCTTCTGCTGGAACCACAACCACTACCTGCTGCTCTCCCAACCCCCAGGAAGCCCTGTAGAGGTGCTCTCCTTACAGCTGCTGTTTTTCTGCAACACTTGAGTGCCACTGGCAATCAAGAGCACAGAGGGTGAGCAGAGCATGGGGAGGGAGAGTGGCGTTGGTGTGCCATGGTGTGCCATACTCCCAGGGCACCCCACTGCCAGCTTCCAGGGCTCCTGCTGGTTCTACACTGCACAGCTTGGGCAAGGGGAGAGCACAGACATTCAGCCATCCCTGGCCCCACAGACACATCTCTAGGAAGAAGCCACAGGAGCTGCAGGGACAGGCCCCTGTCCCTGGTACCAGCAGGTGATGGCCGAGAGAGCAGATGCCGCTTGAGGCACCAGCAGAGACACCCACACAGAGCTGGAACCCCCCATCCAGGACTGGAGAGAGAGGAGAGATCTGCAGTTCTCCCTAAACCCAGGTGTCCTCCACTCTTGGAAGGGCGGGGGATGCCCCCAGCATGGGAGTCCAGGTAAGATGCTGTCCCAAGCTCCAAGGAGCTCCCTACCCACCCTGGTAGGGTAGATGAAAACACCACCATGCCAGCATGGGGCTGAGAGGAGCAGGTCAAACCCAGACCCCCTTATCAGCCCCTGGGGGAGACCAAAAGGTGAAGGGCCCCAACAGCCAGGGATGGAGCTGACACCTGACCACAGTGCCAGGGTGAGGGGCTGCAGCACTGCCCGGCTGGTGTGGGGACACAGACCCAGGGACACCTTGTGCCACCCTCCAGAGCAGCTGCCGACCTGTTCCTGCCAGACCTAGAGAATAGAATACAAATAATCTGGCACCTGCCCTCATTTCCCCTTCTGAGGGAGGAAAAAAGAGAAAGAAAAGAAAGGAAGAGGGGGGAGCAAGGAGATTTGGCAGCCAGCAGTTCTGGGAAAGATTTAGCTGTCTCCCGAGGCCAGCAGTGATGGATTCTCTTCCCTAATGCACTGATGGGCAGCAGCTCCTTGGGGAGAGCTGCCTCCAATTCACTCGCACTCGTTAATGTGCAATTTACTGGCACTTTAACGCTCTCAGCATGAAAAACGATCACGCTGTTTGCAGCCCCCCCAGCCACCAGCACCATCACCTCCTCTCTGGCTTGTGGTGAGCAAGTCCACGTCCAGGCACATTCAGGGAGGTGGTTTTATAAAAAGCTACAGGCCCCTTCAACGCCAAAAAACAAAGCAACAATAAAAAATTAATGTCTCCCGCTCATTCCTGTCTTGATCCTCTCCTGCCAAGCCTGTGGCTGCCTGGAGAGCTGCACCACCACAACCAGCCCCCAGCCCTATTTCCCTCCAAACAAACTCAGAGCGAAACCCCATGTCTCAGCCTTTGCTGATGCCAGCACTGCTGGGCGCCTGAGGAGCCCCTGGGGATGCTGGGCTGGGTACCATGGCACTACCCACTACCCAGCTTCCAGCCACAGCCATGGGTGAGCGCTCCCTCAGGGATTCCGGGACAGCCAAGAGTGCTCAGGACCTGTCTGTGCCCGTGAGCAGTGCTGGATTTGGTGGAAGGGGAGGAGAGACGGCAACACAATCCCACTCCCCAGCAGAGATAAGCTACATCTCCCGCACTGGCAGTTCCCGTTTCTCACACAATGGCCGCTGGCTGTCAGAGCAGACTTACGGGCCCTTGTTAAAAGTGCCGACAGCTCTCTGGCTGGCGGCCAGCGACACCTGGGGCTGATAAAAAACACGAGCCTGCGAGGGCTGGGAGAGAACCAGCAGCCAGAGGAGAGGAGCTTGCAGCCCTCTGGGGAGGGGCACTGGGCCAACTGGACCCTTGGCATCGTTCCTTGCCAGGGTGGCTTCAACGCCTTCTCCTCAGCAGGGCTTCTGGCACAGTGAAGGCACCCAGGAAAAGCAGGAACACCCTCCTGGCAGGCACAAAGCTAGCAAGAGTGGTCAACAGCCTGTCCTGAGCCATGGACAGAGGGAGCACCGCTACACTGAGTGCCTGAGCAGGCTCCCGTGCAACAGTTGGCTTTGGCAGGTGTAGGGCGGGCAGGGAGGTGGCCACGGTGGCAGCACGCCTCACCAGGCTCCTCCGCAGCCTCTTTAAAAATAGATGAGGTGAAACCTTCTCTCTCAGAGCAGCTGGTGACCTGGAGCTCGGCGCAAGAGCAGAAGGGAGAGAGGAAAGCCAGAAGGGAGTGATGGGGATGCAGTGAAGCCCCGAGGGAGCCCACTCTGCACTCACAGCCCAACACACTCCTTTTCACCTCATGATGGTCCTCAGCCCTTGTTCCCAGGTGAGCTGCCCCCAGGCCACCTGGCAGCTGCAAAGGTTGCAAGCCAGAATTCATAACCCTGCAGCCCCCTTCTCCCTGAGGAAGCCAGCCTCCTCTATGACAGTTCCCACACAACCACTCACAACTGGTATGAGGAGCCATGCAAGCACAAGTCCTCCACCACTGTTCTCTGCCTGACATAACAAGAGCATCACAGTCCAGCCAGGGCACCCTGAACCCAGCAATCAAACAGAAGCTCAGGTGCAGAGAGTTAAGGAGGCAGCCAAGGCCATGACGCAGAGCAGCACAAAGCTCCCAAAGCACAGAGAAGGGGACACATTTCGGACAGGCACAGCCTTCCCTGGGCTACAGCAGGTAGCAACCTCCCATGCTGTCTGTGGAAGGGATGGCCCGAATGGCCCAGATAGCAAGGTGGAGCCAAGGAGCTAGGACCAAGGAGCTGGACAACACTCCCGACCCACCCAGACTCACCTGTTTGTGCATCTCAATGTTCAGGCCATAGGACATCTCATAGTACTGTGAGGGAAAGAAGGCGGCATCAGCATGGCTCTGGAGACCAGGGTTACTCATAACTAGAAAGTCCTCTCCAGCACTAGCACGCCAGGTCAGCCTGGTCACAAATGACCATGACGTGGCCAGACTAGGGAAAGAACACAATCCTCAGCTCCTCTCCTGGGAGCAGAGGTCTCTCTGGCACATGGCTGTAGCCCACAGGATGGACATAGTCCTACCAGGGCTCCTGCTCACTGCCTGTGGGAATGGGGACAACCCAAATGGGACCAACTCTGCCACTGCAAGATGCAGTAGCAGCTCCTGAACACCACAGCTTGTTTTAGGGGTAAACCAGACAATAACAGCCACAGGAATCAGATCTCAGGACCTGGCCACACAACTCAAAGGCAAGGAGAAGGTAAAGCACCGCAGGGCTGTGTGACCTTTGATGGTTCAAAGGACCCACACCACCCTCCTCCACTCAGGTGGAGCTCACTAACCATGACATAATGACGCTGGATTTCTGTTTTTTCTGTTGCCAGCTTTTCGCATTCTAACTTCAAGCTGTAAAAACAAAGAGGAGAGGAAGAGAGAGGGAACGACCCCCTGGTCCCCCCACTGACAGGATCTCCCTGGCTGGACAGAGCATGAGCCCTCCCAGTGCACCACACGCTTCAGCCTCCTGCTCTCAGCTTCAATCCAATCTCTCAGCACAAGTCAAGAAAATCACCTGAAAGAGGGTGGGAAGGGGCTGATAAAGATGAGATGGACAAAGGGATCTGGGCATCAGGGAACAGTCTGCATGGATTTTTAACCCCCTCCCCAGCATCTGCTTCCCAAATGGAGTGAGCTGCAAAGCCAAGCTTCATTTCAAACCTTGTTCTGCCCCACATGGTGTGAGGAAAGGAAGGTGATCTTGGACAGCAGCCTCAGGGATAAGAGGGACTCCAGGTCTGCTAAGTGATGGCTCTGGCTCAGCCCAGGAGCCGGGTGCTGGAAGCCAGCACCTCATCCTGGGGCTTTTCGCTGGTGAAGGCTGAGTTTCCCCCTGAGTGTAATTTTAAGCTACCAAGGTGGTAGTTGGCACAGCCATCCTCTGGATGGACCAGTGCCCGTGCCCACAGCCGCATGGAATGGTGCTGCCTGCCCTGATGCCCAGCGCCAGTAGCAGCCCATTGCTTGTCAGCACCAGTGAAGTGCTCAGCTCCTCCCTGCTGGCATGTGAACTCTGGCAGCTTCTCACCTGTGGTATTGGTTCTGTAGGAACTGGAATTCCTCCTTGATGCGGTCCAAGGTCTCTGGGTAAGTCAGTTTGAGGGACTGGGGGGTGCTGGGGATGGCACTGGCAGCGACAGCGGCTCCCGAAGCAGCAGAGGGGGCCTGGAGATGGGCCTAGGCAGAGGATGGGACCCTCAGGGTCACTGCTGTGCCCAGTGAGACCAGTGCATCCCCCCAGGGGTTTCCTGCACCCGGGGAAGAGGCCATGGGGAACATCTGGGAGAGCAGCATGTGCAGGAGGTGCAGAACGAGTTACTGGAAACTGGTTACCCACTGGCCCTTGCCACGCAGCAAGGGCCTTGTGAGCATCAGTTTGGCCACTCAGTCAGCAGATTAATGACCACGGGTGGTACCAAGCATGGTGTGGACCCAGTGGCCTGCCCTCACCCAAGTGCTACACAGCTGATCCTCCTGCCCACCCATCACCTTCTGACCATCACACCCTGGCATATCCCGCTCCCATCTCCTCAAGAAGCCCAAACCCCCAGCACTGGGACTCAGCGCTTTGGGAAGAGCCACAGCAACGCTCCTGAGCATCACATGCTGTCGACACCGAGCAGGAAGCTGGGTCTGGGGGCATAGGCCCTGCAAGGGTTGGGGTGGCACTGCTGCGAAGGGACGAGGCCGTGAGCAGGCTCACCGGGGGCCGGTTCTGCGGGAACATCCTTGGCACCGGACAGGCCCGGGATCCTCCGGCCGCGCGGGCCCCGCCTCGGGCTCGGGACGGGGCCTGGAGACGGCTCCCAATTCCGGATCAGGCCCTGGGGAAGAAACCGAGGGTCACAGCTCGGAGCTGCCTGGAGGCGCGGGGCCCTGCGGGAGCCGCACCAGAGCGGAGTCCCGGGGTCCCGGCCCCTCCGCAGCCCCGCCGCGACCTGAGAGCCCCGCACCGCGCGCCTCACATCCCCGCGAGGACCGGGGGCCCAGGGCCTCCCTCCGGGCGCCGCGGGACCCGCCCAGCCCCGGCCCCCCGCGCCGCGCAGACAATGGCCCCGCCGCCGCCCGCCGCAGGTACGGCCGCGGGGTGGCACCGGTCTCGCCGCCGCCCCAGCCCCAAGCGGGGCTGGACTACGGCCGTCGGAAACCTATCCAGACTAGACTGGACCGGATCGTCGGGACGGGACGGGACGAGACGGGACTCACCGCGCTGCGGGTCCCAAACCCAGACCCGGCCCCAGGCGCGCGCCCCTGCAGCGGAGCGGGCCGGGCCGGGCCGAGCCGAGCCGAGCCCGGTAGAGCCGAGCACAGTAGAGCCGGGCCGAACGAGTCCAACCGAGCGCAGCCGAGCCGAGCCGAGCCGAGCCGGGCCGAGCCCGAGCCGAGCCCCCGCCCCGCCCCGCCCCGCCCCGCCCCGCCCCGCCCGCGCGGCCGCCGCTCTGCGGAGCACGATCAATGAACGAGCGCGAGCGCCAGCTCCACGTGGGGCCTGGCCCGTGCGGGCAATCGCCTCGGCCGCCAGCCAATAGGAGCACAGCAGGAACCACTGCCCCACGTGGGGCGCGCGGAGCGGTCTTCCCATTGGCCAGCTCGGCCAGCCTCCGCGGAAGGTGTCAATCAGGGGAGGCCGAGCAGCCACTGAGGGGGCGGGGCGGCGGGAGCGGGGGTTTAACCCGTGCGGGGCCGGGGGGGTCCCGGGGCACGGCCCGGCCCCTTCCTAGCCCCGCGGCGGGGACCCCCGCTTCGCCACAGAAGTTTTGCCCACACCATGAAGCCGAGAGTTTGCACCGGAGCCCCGTGCCCGCCGCCCCGGGCAGCAGCGCTCGGCTTCGGGGCTGTTGCTGATAAACACTAAACACGAGAAGACGTCGTGTTCCGCCCCGCCCCTCCCCTCCCTTCCCTCCCTCCTCTTTGTTATTTTTAATTAGGAAAATAAACGAATCCGACACCACCCCCACCCCTCCCCCGGCTGCAGGTCCCGCCTCACTGGGAATTCCCTATGATTTCCTGTGTGACAGTGGGAAGCGGCAGCATCCCTCTGCCCGACAGCACTGGCGTGGCCTGCGGAGGGCTCCTGGGAAGGGCTTCTGGACCGGCCCTGTCCCTCAGCCGCAGCAAAGGAATCTACCAGCACCCACCTCCCTTCCGTCACCCCCAGCCCCGTGGGGTGCTGCTCCGAGGGTCCATCACCCTTGGGATAGGCAGATACTTGGACTGGGAAAGAGACCCCCATGTCCCCTCCCAGTAGCCCTACACCAGCCCCTGCACCCCCACCAGCGCTGTCACCGTCCTCCCAGAGCTCTCTGTGTGTCCAGCCAGCAGGCTGGGATCCATACAACCCACTTGGGGTTTCTCATGGTTTTTCTGGTGACTTTACTCCTTTCAGGGAGATCGATGGTTGCTCGACATTTTCTGCTGTTGCAGGTCAATCCAGTCTTACACTAAGCAGGAAATAAAACATTTGAGGAGCAGCAGTTGTGAGGTGTCTGTCCAACTCTCCCCCTCTTTAACCTTAATGCAGGAACAGGCCAGTCCTTTCCTCCTCACCACAGCTTCATCCTCGGTCCCATCACCATCCAAAGGCAGCGATGGTTTGGCCCGTGGGACAGACTCATCCTCACAGCAGCAGCGGTGATGCCAGTTCCCAGCAGTGCTGGTAGGGTACACAGCGGAAGAACCAGAGACCCTCCTTCGGGACAGCAACTCGCCCCCAGCCCATGAAAGAAAAGAACAGTAACAATCATAAACTCAACAAACTCACTGAAATAGAGCAGGACTGTGCAAGGGCCATGCTGTGCGTGCCCAGAGGGCTCAAGATCCTGGGGGTGATGGGCTACACTGGCCCCTTGGGCTGGGAGCAGGGTTTTCCAGCCATGAGTTGCCTTTACTAAGTGAGGGAAAGCCCTAAGTCCCAGCCCATTTTGCCCCATTTTGCCCTGTCTGTCCCCTGGCAGTCCCAGGATTTTCTGAGAGCAACTGCGGTCTCAGGTGGGAGATCTCCCATTAACCCGGTTCTGCTGAGGGCAGACAGGGAGGGAGACCCTCCCCTCTCTGGAGCGGGGGATGCCCGTGTCCTCACTGCACCTACTGCTGGCTCTGCACCAGCAACCAGTGGGGTTTGTGCTCCGTGAAGGGAAGGGGGTTGGTGGGGAGAGTGGCAGAAGAGTGGTCTCCCAGCCCTTATTATATTTTAAAATGTAATAACAGCACAACGTCTGTTTTTGCAGACAGAACAGATAATTTCTGGTAGAGGGTCATAAATCTCAAAGGGAGGGAAAATAATTTGGCTAAGGTCATGTTAAGGCTTCAAGAGTGTAAAAGAGAAAAATACTAAAATAACAAAAAAAAAAGGCAGTCTAGATCTGGACTGACGCACATCTCTGCCCCTAAACCCCCTCCCCAGCCTCATAACCCTGTCTCCTCTGCCCTTCAAGCTTCCCAACATCACCCCATGGGGCTGAGGGGGCCAAGACACATGTGAGGGGCTGGCTGGGTAGACAGGCCAAGGGAGCAGAAGAGAACAGGGATCCCAGCAAGGACCCTGGCAGGATTCTGCTGAGTCATTCTGCCCCAGGGGGAGCCCCCCTGCACAGTCCCCACACACTGTATTTAGGGAGGCCTCAGGCATGTGAGGCATGGAAACAGTGACAGGCTTGTGCCTGGTGGGACAACATGCTTGAGGTGATGCTGGGCTGCCCTCCCTGGGTACAGGGCCACCACCATAAGGGCACAATGGCAGCAGGGCTAGGCAAGTGCTATTCCAGAACTGATGAGGAAAGAAATGAAGCAGATCCCCATGCCCTGCTGCTGCCATGTCTCCCATCCTCGCCCGCAGTCACTCTATCTCATCCCTGGTACCAGATCTCTGGCAGCACCATCCGTCAGCACCAGCTGCCCACACTGCCCATCCTGGCAAAGGCAGAGCAGGGAGGGGAGAGGCTTGGGTTTGACAGGGCTAAACCTGCTTGTACCTGCGGGTCATCACATGTCCAGCAGCCAGTTTGCAGGCTGGCAGCTCCCTGCTGTGACCAGGAGAGACCTGCAGTCATGGGAGGCCTGGCAATGCAGGTCTTGTTTGATAGGAATGCTATGGCAGGAGGCCAAAGGAAAGGACCCAGGAACACCTGACTCACCACCGCGGGTCAGGCCTGCCCCTGAGCAGGAGCCAGGGCCAGCAGGGAAGAGCTAGCCATCCCGCAGAGCCAGGGCTCAGCAGCCAAGTGCTTCCCGAGAGAACAACCCTGGCAGCGCCATAGCTCTGCACGGACCCTGGCAAGCAGCAGAAAACAAACTGCTGCTCATACCCCCTGGCTGCTTCCCCAGGCTCGGCTGCCAGCTTCCGCATGCCAGCGCGGCTCGAGCGCGGCCGGGACTCCCCGGCAGGGAGGGCTCCGGTGGTACTACCCCTGCGCCTGTTCTGCCGACAGGCACCCGTGCTCAACGCCAAGGTCAGGTGACCCGGGCTCCGGGACGGGCACCAGCGAGGATAGGTGCTCTGATAAGAAAGGGGCGACATATAACACCCTCCCCCGGGAGCGCCTTCCCCTTCACCTTTCCTCCTGCTGTGACTTAATTTCGTCTTTAGCCCCCTTCTTCCCTTAGTGGATCAAAAGAGTCCATGGCACCGTGCATATTTCATCGGAAACGTCGATTAAAGGGAGTGGGGGAGGCGGTGCTAGTGGAATCAGAGGAGGAGGAGAAGGAGGAAAAAGAGGAGGAGCAGGAACAGAAGAAGGAGCAAAAGAAGGAGAAGAAGCGAGGCTGGGGGGGAGCACCTGGCTTCATGCAGTGTCCCGGCAGGAGGGGCCGGGCCGGGCGGCGTGGGCGACACCGGGGCTTGGGCGGCGGCGCTGCGGGGGCCGGTGGCTCCTCCGGTCGTGGCTCCAGGGCTCCGCTCGGCGGCTCCGCCGGGCTCCTACTGCTCTCTGCCGCCCTGGCCGGGCGCCCGCCGCCCGGCGTGGGACGGGATGGCGCCGGCTCCCGACCGGTGCCCCCGGGGCCGGGGCAGTTCGAGGAGCCCGGACACTGGCCTTGCTCTCCCCACCTCGGCGGGCCCCCCCAACTCCCACGGGCTGTGCCGGGCAGAGTTGCCAGCTCCAGGGGTCCAGGCCCTGGCACCACTCCCCCTCCGTGACTCGCCCCGCTGAGGGGGAGGAGAGACCTACGCGGTGTGGGGTGCGCTCGGGAAGGGGCTGCCAACATCCCACCCGAGGGTGCCATGGCGTCGGTATTCCCCAGCACATTCAGCCAGGGCCACCTCAGGCCCCACAGAGACGGGCGCATCTGGCCACAGCATCTTCCGTGGCCACTGGCCAGAGAAAAGGATGTTTAGGGGATGAGTAACATCCTTCCTGGCAGGGCTGCTGCCCGCCCTTGGAAGTTGCTGCAGGCACAGAGGAGCTCAGCCCCTTTGCTCGTCTCTTGCCCCACTTAGCCAGTGAAAAAAGCTAAGAGTGGGAAGAAACCTGGGGATGGGGCTAGGGTAACTGAAGCCCATGGAATCAGCAGGAGTGCCAGGGAGAAGGGAGGGAGGATGCTGCGTGGCAGGGTGGGAGGCAGCCAGGAGGCACAGGTTGGGGGAGGCAGCTATGGGCCCCCTCTGGAGCAGGGCTGGAAGCCAGAGCCTGTCTGAATGCTGCCAGAAGCAGCTTATTTTGGAAAGCAGGCATCTTGGCAGAGCACTTGGTGTGTGGAGCTGCTGACGCTGGGGAACAGGATGGCTGTCTCATCAGGTCCCAGCCATGCCTTGCAGGCTAACGCTGCGTGGCTTCAGCCCGCAGCTGAATCTGCCCCAGCACAACCAGGACTGGATCCCCAGCTCCCGAGTCACCCATTGCAAAGGGGTTTGGACGTCCCAGTCACAAGCTATCACAATACCCAGGGCCCCAACTCACCCTGAACACCAGAGGGACTATCTGGGACTTACCAAGCAGGATGCACAGAGCTCTCACTAGCTCTGACCCATGGGGCCAAGTACAAGCTCAAGCCTTGAACAGAGAAACAGAGGCACATGGGCTTAACTCCACTCCTGGATGCTGCTATCCCTGTCCTCAGCTCCCAGGAGCAGTACCAGCCCCACAGGGAGCCCAGTCCCTCCCACTGCTCAGACCGAGTGACTCAAGGCAGTGGGGTCCAGCCCAGGTCTGGAACAGCACTGGCAGGGAGCAGTGGCATTCAACCATGACCAGGGCTAGCAAGGGCTGGAGGGAACCCAGACTTCACAGCAGAAACTGGACCTGCTTTGCCTTCCCCAGGGCCCTGCTGGCACCTGTGGAGCTAAGGAGCCAGCACAGGCAAGCTCCCTGCCCCTGTTCTTGCAGAGAGGGGCCAGAAAGCACACCTGGAGCAGGCTGCAGTTAACAGCCCCTGGACATGTGCCTGGACATGGCTCAGGAGCTTCCACCAACTGCCGGTTAGGTGTGGCTTGGCATGCCCCAAATTTAGTCAGGTCTCAGCCTGTCCCACAGTGGGGCCCAGCTGTGAGCAGGCGGGCAGCCTCATCCGCCTGGGGATGGGGCAACCAAGCTCCCAACACGCAGCAGCTGGCCCTGCCCTTCGGAGCAGCACACTGAAGCATTGTGGCCCAGCTGGTTTTTCCAGAGATGCATCCAAGGGGCGAAATCAGATCTCAAGGGAAGGGAGCAGGCCTGTTTCTGACTGCACAGAGGAGCTGTGGAGGCAGTGCCAGGAACTCGGGTAGTTGCTGGGCACCGCAGCAGGCCAAATGAAAACCAAGGAGGCAGCTCACAAACCTGGGCTGTATCTCACTGCCCAACTCCAGGAGCTGCTGAGCCTGTGTAGAGCTTTGTTTGTAAACCCTGTGGCAGAGCTGCCCTGCCCTGGGACTTCATCCAGCTTTGTTTTACACTTATCAGATATTAAACAACTGGCCCCAAGGGCTGGGATGGGGGAAGGACCCCGCTGGGAAGCAGGGAAGGACTTTTGGAAGGAAAGCTCTTGGAGGAAAATGGAAAAGCAATGTTGGGGAAAGGGAGTTCCCTCCACACAGGGAGGGTGTTTTTGGTCAGGGCTTGTCTAGACTGGAGTCACCCACACTGCGCAAGCACATTAACACCACGCAGCCAGTATGGGGCTCCCTACCATTCCCAGCAGGACAGACAGGCTGCACTCAACAAGGGCGGGCAAGAGCCGACCCCAGGACTGGTCATCCCAACCCCAAAGGGAGTGGGTAGACCCTGAGGCTTCCCAGGTGCTGCTTCCCAGTGTCCCCTATTGCTTCCCAGCAGTCAGAGGGCCCTATGGCCAACAGCTCCTCAGCTTGGCCCTGTCACCTGTCCCCACCGCATCCCTTGGACAGTGGAGGGACATGGGGCAGCTGTGCCAAGGCTCTTGGCTCCCTGCCTTCCCTCAGCTCTGGCTGCAGGAGCTGCAGGCACAAAGCATTACTTTTTCCAAGAGCCTTTCCCTGCCTTCCCTCCTCCCTTGCAGAGCAGGGCCATGTTTCTGGGGAGCACAGGAGATTCCTGGATCAGGGCAAAGCCAGTGCCAGGATGCAGCTGGCTGGGATGGGTCTTGGAGCCACTTGCTGGCCGTGTCTCTTCTTACCTCTCAAAGGGCTGCCTGGCTGAAGCACAACGCCCTTGAATGCACTACCTCACAGGCATAGCATGGGCAAAGAACACCTGGCCCTGGGGGGCTGCTCCCATCAGCCTTGGTCAAGTCCACCTTTCACAGCACAAGTGGGAGAGGGGCTTAATGGCCCTGACAGCCATCACCACCCACCAGCAAACCTACAGCTAAAGAGGGGCTTCAGACACCTTTCCCTTGGAAAAGAAAACCCTGAACACTTAAGCTCATCCTCCAACGCCAGGAACATCCATAGAGTAAGAGAACAGGCCTGACACATTCATTCTTTAAGGATGACCTAATTTAAAAACATTTTTATAAAAACACATCATAATGAAAATGCATGTATTTTAAAGAGAGACCCATAGCGCTCCAGTGCTGGAGGCAGCTGCGTGTCAGCAATGGGACTGCTCCATACCCATTGCCCCCCTCTTCCCATGTTCAGCTCACCATCCCCATTTATTTTCCTTTACCACAGAAAGTGTCTCCCTAGCCCTCCCCACACCCTAAAGCATCAGCTGAAGCTGCAGGAATGACAAAGGCCAGAGCAACACCTTGCCCAAGCCAGGTATGAAGCAGGTGGGGGGCAAACAGCCCTCACACCCAGGACTGCAGCATCAGGCACTGCCAGAAAAGAGCCTGCCCAGGCACTCATTGCTTGCACCAGCTGCTGGTGGGCAGGACTGCTCTTAAAGGTAACCAGTGGAACAAAGAAAAGCTCTGGATTGCTTTAATCCTTTCCAAAAAAGTATAGCTAGCCTAGCAGTTGTCCTCCTCTCTCTGTGCCTGTGAGGATTTGTACTCAGAAGGGACTGGATAATTTGACAGGGACAACACACACTCAGCACAGGCAAAGTCAGACTTCCCGAGGAGTTTGCTCTTCGCTCAGTGTGCTTTGCCAGCCCAATAAATCCATCCCCGCGTGCCACCCTTCCCTCCCTCCCCTTCCTCCATGTGGAGGGCTGGGACAGCAGCCTTGGAGCATGACTCAGATGCACAGGGGTTGAGGACATCCCCTTCCCAGAGGCAGGGCACTGGCATCACCAGGTACCGCCAAGCACAGCAGCACTATGGGCATGGGGAGCTGGGTGCTGCGGCACTGTGGGAGTGGGAACAGGCAGGGCTGCCCCGCTGGTACCTGTGGCAGTCGGAGGCACCAGAGCCATGGAGCCAACAGTTAATACAGAGCCAGAGTCCTCATCCCTGAGCCAGGAGCAGAGCATGGCAAGGGGCATGTCTGCAGTCTGGCGTGCACGGGCCGTGTGCGGCTCACGGGGCACCGCGGTAGCTGTAGTGATTGTGGTCAGGATCGCTCAAGGTGAGCGGCAGGCTGGGCTTGCGCTCTGGGTCCTTCTCCTCACACTGCCTTGGGGGACGGTGCTTGAAGAAGTCAGAGACATAGTGGACCTGAAAAAGACCAACAGGAAGATTTGGGGACCCCTCCGTCAGGCTGAGCAGGAACCTGGCCAAGCAGCAGGTTGCACAGGGGACACTCACGATGAGGACGGCAATGAGAGCCCCTTGGAGCAGCCCCACCAGCACGTCGCTCCAGTGGTGCTTGTAGTCAGACACCCTGGTGTAGCCCACATAGATGGCGAAGGTGATGAGGAAGAACTGGATGGTGGGACGCAGCAGCCGGGCCCACTTTCCCACCAGCCGGGCTTGCACGTAGAGCTGGGCAGCAAAGAGGGGAGCAATCACCCAGATCAGGGGGCACCAACTAGCCTGATGATGGGGTGCTTGGGGCATGGGATCTGTGGGGGCTGGCTGCCTTCCGGTGGCAAGGCACTTACCGCCAAGAACATCATGCAGTACATCCCAAAGGAGGAGTGTCCCGAGTAGAAGGACAATCTGTGGGGCAAAAGGAATGGGTCAGATCACGACAACAAGCCCTTAGCCAGCCCCCACAAGCCCTCTAGCCACTCCACAGGCTCTGCCCTGCAGCAGGAGAGCATCAATACCCATCTGGGGCTGCCACTGGAAGCCCAGCACTGCTTGGCAGAGGGAGGAGACATGTCCTGTGGCCTGACAGCTCACCTGGACTCGGTGATGTTCCTGCTGTCTCCCTGGCAGACATTCTCCAGCTGCACATAGATGGAGCAGTTCACCTTGGACCAGTCAGGATTGCAGACAGCCAGGAAGTTTGGCCGGAGACGGCCGATCATGTATTTGGCCAGATCAGTCAGGGACTGGCTGATGGCCCCCCCAAAGAGAAAGGTCCCCACCACCTTGTAGAGGGCAGCCAGGTAGTTGTTGAACTCTGACTTGGAGTAGAGGCGCTCAGTGTAGACCAGGTAAGCCTCCCCCAATGAGATCTGCAGAGACCAGGAGGCAAGGGGTGAGGTTTGAGCACTACTGAGTATCTCCTCAGAACCAGGGCTGCAGGACGCTCTGGCTCTTGGCTCTGTGGCAGAGGAGTCCCTGGCACCTGCCTGCCACAGGAGCTCATAGACCCTCTCCCTGTCCCTGCAGGGAACCAGCTCCACAGGATGTGGGTCTCGCTACCCCAATGGGAGCTCCTGACCCCCAGCAGGAGCTCCTGACTCCCATCAGAGCAGCACTTAAGCTGAGGGTCCTGTTGCCCTGCCAGGGCTCTGGAGGTGGTTGTGCTGGGCCCCAACTTCCACATACAATGTCAGGATGTCCCTGTCCTGGAGAGAAGGGGGTGGTACATCCTTACAATGACAACAGTGCAGGTGATCGTGACCCCAGCCATGAGACCGTGGGTGATGGTGTCTGCCTTGTAGGGGTAGCGGATGGAGTCATCACTGCAGTAGAAGCCTCGCTTGTACGGGGAGTTCACCAGTGTCAGGATGACGAAGGGCAGAGATGCTGCAAGGCAGAGAGAGGTAAGGACTGGGGACACCAGCCAGCAGGCTCCACACCGGCATGCAGCACTGTGCAGTCTCCCCATCTGTGATCCCCGGGGCTCTGCTCCCTGATGCTGGGGAGGAATCCCCTCCGGGGATGAAGTCCTGAGCCACCTGTACCCTGAGCAGGAGGACTTGAACCCACCAACGTACTGGTCCCACCACCGATATGGCCCTATCAAGAGCTTGTAGATGCCTGCAGCGCCCAGATACCACATGAGACGGCCACAACTGGGCACCTGCAGAGCCCCCTCGGCTGTCCCACTCCTCCCCAGGCACAACTATGGCAAGGCTTGATCTTGTGCCTTTTCCTCAGAGTCTTTCAGCCTAGGAAGACAGACCTCATTAAAATTAATGAGCACAGGCATCTTGCAAAACTGTTTTACAGCAGTAAAGGGCCCCTAGATGGTCCTAGCAGAATCCTCACAGCAGCTCCAGGAGAGCTGGTGCTTGAGCAATGCTGATGGGTGATCCAGCCCAAGCACAGTGGGACTCCAAAGTGCTTGGCTTGTCCCTCTCACCTTCCCACTGCCCTTGCTCTTACCAGCCTCTTCACTCCCCTGCCTCCCCGAGGCTCTTGAGAGATGCTGTGCTGGCTTTGTCAGTTTGGGAAAGGAGGCTTTTCCACCCAGTGTGCTGCAACCCTGGCCATTGGCAGCTAAGAGCTCACCCGGGAAGGAACCATCCCCAGAGATCCAGAGGAATTTGCAGGTCTCTGCCCCACGCAGTAGCTGTGCCAGCCCCTCGCTGGAAGGGGCTCTGCCCCACCCCTGCCCAGAAACAGTCAAGGATGGGTCGGGCGCCTCCACCCTGGGGGTCCCAGGGCGCTCCCCCCGGGAAGCAGCCCCCCCGGCCCCGCAGGCCACCTTAGGCCAGTCTCCTCTCCCTGTTCCGCCTTTCCCGGCGGTTTCCGCCTCCCCTTGTTCCTCCGTCTCCCGGGAACCCGCACCTTTGTCCCCGCCCGCCCCTGCCTCCTCGCTCCCGCCCTGGGGGTCCCGCCGCCTCCTGCGCTCACAGAGAGAGCGGGGAGCAGGGCGATAAAGCACCAGGGAGCTGCCCCGCCGCCCCGCCGGGAACCAGCGCCGGTCCCTCCCGGCCCCTCCGCCACCTCCGCCCCGCACACCTCCGACGTCCATTTTCAGCTCAAATTAGACACCAATTTTCTTTCTGGAAAATTTCATCCTCCAAAAAAACTCCCCCAAAAATATAAAGCACCGGCCCGCAGTAGGGAAACGCGCCTCGAGCAGCACGGGGACTCGGGCCCCCCCGCGCCGGGGCCCGCAACCCGGGAAGCTCCGGGCCTTTATTTTTAGTTCGTATTAATTCAGTGATTCCCTGCAGTTTCAGAAACGAGCATTTGCCCGCACCGAGCGGTGGGGGACGTCCTGAAAGAGGCCCCCTGAACCCATCCGTCCGAGGCTGCGGAGCCCCGGCTTCGCTCCGTCCGCCCGTGGAGCGCCGGGCTCGGCGGCGGGCAGGCGGCCAGGGCGGCGGCGGCGGAGGAAGCGTCCCGGTGCCGCCCGAGCGGCGGGACTCTGCTGCTGCCTCCCGGCCTGGGACAGACCGTAGTCCCCGGGGGGGCGCTCGGCCAACGGGGTCGCCCCCGGGAACCGGGACTCCCGACGGAGCCCGGTAGCGCTGGGGCAGGGACCGGCTTTCGCCTGGCCCCGCCGCGCCCGCCCGCACCGCCTGTGGTTTCTGGAGGAGGCCCGGAGCCTCGGGACAGTGACCGGGCAGGTGCCTCCCGCCCTGCCCCCGGACCGGCGGCACCGGCCGCGGGCCAGAGCGGGCGGAGGTGCGGCGGGACCCTGGACCCCCTGTACCTTCCGCGGATCTGACCCCAGCCCGCGGCGCGACCCCACCGAAGGCACGGGCGGGACGCGGTGACGCTTCGGAGTCGCCCACGGCGGGGGTACTGGTACCGAGCCCTCACCGACCGCCAGGCAGAGTACGTCGAGCGCCACGAAGACCTTCCTGCGCTCCATCCCGCAGCCGGTGAGGCCCCGCGGCCCGACCCCGTGGCTCACATGGCCCGGAACGACGCGGGCCCGGCCGGGAGGTAAAGTCCGGGCTGGCGAGGCGGGGCGGCAGCCGGCGCCTCCGCCCGGGGCCGGGGCGGGGCGGGGCGGGAGCGCCGGGGCCGGGACCGGGGCAGGTGTGGAGCGCGGACTCAGACTCTCCTCGCCCCCCTCCGCTTCCTCGGGCTCTGCTCCGGCGTCCTCGGCTCCGGCCGTCTCGAGTCCCCCGGTGCCCGCCCCGCCTGCCTGGTCTCCCCGCTTTGGCTCGGCCGTCTCCCGTCGCTGCGTCAAGGGAAAAGGGGAGAAGGAAGAGGCCGATGTGGGAGCCGCCTGTGCCCCACCCACCTCGGGCCTATGACCTGAGGGGGAAAAAAAATGGGGAAAAAAGGAAAATCCAAGAATGGAAGAACGTGGCCCCAGAAACGTTCTGGTTGCACCGGCAGGGGCAGGGGGGGGGCTTTGTGCAGAGCAGATGTGGGGCTGGCTCGGTGTCAAGAGGAGTTGTTGAGGGGAAGGAGGCGCTCCCAGGAGCCTGTGGACACAACAGGGAGGCCGGTGGGAGCACACAGGACGAGACAGGAGCTACGATTTCCCTGCTGAGATGTGGGGCTGTACTTTCTGAGCCTCAGAGGCTCTAGGAGCAGGACAGGCTTCCGATGCTGCCCTTTGGGGCTGGGGATGTGCCGAGCCGCTAGAACCCAGAGCAGGGACAGGAGTGAAGGTTGGAGCAACGGGTCCCGTAGCAATTCCCTGGTGGGAGCAGGGACAGTCACATCCTGGCTGTTTGTTCCAGGCCCGATGCCTGGTTAGGAATGGAAGGAAATGTAAATAATACAGAAACCACTCAAATGATAGCTGCAGGGCTGGATGACTGAAGTGCAGCGTGAGTGGCCTGTGGAGAATGTCAAGGCTGTCAGAGCTGGAAACACTCTGGGGTTGCCCTGGGGTTTAAGGAGAGGGGCAGAACCACAGGCCAGCTTTCCTCTGCTCCAGTCGACCCTGATGTGCCCCGGTGCAGCTCCCTCCTGCCCGTCAGTGCCATGGGGGCCCTGGCACAGCACTGGGCAACAGCCCAACCCCGCGCTCGGGGGTGTCACGGGGGCAGAAAGCGGCGACCCAGGAGGGGTGGGGGGGTCCCGGGCGCGGGGCTCTGGCTCCCTCTGCCGTCCGAGCGCTGCGGCTGCAGAGCCCGCCCGGGACTCTCTCCCGGGGCCTGGTGGGGCTGCAGAGCCCGGGGTCTCCGGCCCTGCGGCTCCCACACCCTCGGAAACATTGCTCGGGTCACGCAGGGTCGAAACCAGCATTTCATTTCGAAGGATGCAACGAGGTGACCACGATCTCACAGAGGGCTTCAAGCACACCCATCTTTCCTGCTGCACCTCGGGGCCTCAGAGGAAGTAGGACCCGCTCCTGTCCTGCTGTGCCCACCCTGGTACCTACCTCTGCAGGGGAGAGCCAGGGGGCTGCACGGCCAGAGCCCCCCAAGGCCCCGGGACAGAAGGCCAGAGCCAGGCACAAGCAGGAGAAGAGAATTTAATGAGTTTTTGATGTAACAGAGGGGCTTTGTGGTGGGGAAACACAATGCAGTTGCAGCAGGAACCCCCAGGATGCTTTTCCTGGCTGAAGTGGTGAGACATGGATGGACCCCTGCCTCCCACCACCACAGCCACAAGCTCATGGGTTCAGAGAACTTGGGGCACCTGTAAGAGCAACAAACAGCTCCCTCTACCCACAGCGCCAGGGGGCAAAACTCAGCCAGGGACGCTGGATGTCCTCCCAGGCTGGGATAGCATCCCTGGCACAGGGCACCCTGCCCTGCCTGCAGGGCAGGACAGGATCAGACAGTGGAGGCAGAGACCCCTTTTCTTTCTTCTACCATCATGACACCTGGGACTGTTGCATCTTGGTCTCCAAAAAGAAGACAGGCTTCTTACTCACTTTCAAATTAGGTTTTTAATTAAATAAATAACGGCGAGGGGTCATCAAGGCAGTGTCACTTCACAGTGTAGGGCTGGGGGGCAAGGGAGAAGAGTCCAGCATTGGGAGTGGCTCAAAGTGAATGTGCTTTGTAAGACGGAAAAGGAAAACCCCAACAAAAACCAAAACCAAACCTCCTCTCCCAGTGACTCCCCCTTCCCTGTCCCAGCCTTTTCCACCCCTCTGCCTCAAAGTTATGTGGAAAAAGCCCACACGCATGTTGAAAGACCCCATGCAAATCTGTAAACAACACTGAAAGACATAAAGAGATTTCTGCCTTCTCCAGTTCCCGTCTCCTTTCATTAGGGCTTGAAACAAACCAAAAGAAAAAATGGTTTCAGAAAAACTAAGAATGTTCTCAACTGATGGAGGAGATGCCAAGGCCTAGCCCTCCCTAGGAGGGCTATCCATACTCTCACCCTGCCTCTTCTTCTCCCTTCAGCCAAGGAGATTCCTCTCACCCCCAGAAAAGGGGAATCATAGCCTGGGCAGTTCCACTGTGGAGTGGGCACTGGGAGCAGCTGGAGGGGAGGCCTCTCCCAACCACATTTGGCCAGGTGAAGGCAGCTGCTTGTGCCTGAGGCTCAGCACCTCCCAGCAGAATGCTGGGGACCGAAGCAAACCCCTGCTAATGCACACAGAACAGATCTGGGGCTTAGGAGATGAGACAAGGTCTAATCCTGCCATCCCGTAAGGCTGCTTCATACTGCCTCTGTCCTCCGGCTGCAGGGCTGAGCACAACTTCCCAGGGTCAGGTAAAAGGAGGATGCAGGCTTGTGGGTTTAGGTACCTGCCAAATCCACTGGCAGCAGAGCCAAGTGCACAGTCACAGCCCTAAGGCCTCTACCAAAGCAAGCAAAAGCCCTCAATCCAAGCTCCCTCCCAGCTGCAGAACACAGCTGGAGGAAGGGACCATCTGCACGAGGGCCTTGCTCAGCAGGTGGGCAGAGAGCATTCTCAGCATGGCAAAAGGGGAATGAGAACACGTTGGATTTAAGCCAGTGGCAAACACCAGACCTGGAACATGTGGGAAGCAAAGCAGCTCTGGACCCCAGCACACCCATGGACAGGCCCCCATGGTTCTGCACGGCAGGCAGTACCTTGCCACCAGACGGGGCTACCTGTCACCTCCCTGAGCATGGCAGTAAAGACACGCTTTCCTCTCAGAAAACAGTCTGTTTTGTGAGGGAGGGGCAGAGATGCCCAGGGTTGGTGTGCTCCCCTGCCTGGGACTGAGCTAGCACCAATGTCCCAGGTTTTGCACTCCGGGAGCTAAGCAACCTCCTCCCTCTGCTGACAAATTGTTGAAACAAACTGGGAAGTTACAGAAATTTTCATTTGCATTTTACCCTCTTGCACTGTGAGTAGGTGAGGATCAGGTCATTCCCCCCCAGTAGCAGAAGTGGCAGCACCACAGTGCTCTGAGCCAGCATCACTCTGCAGCTCTAAAAACTCATATTTCTGATCATAGAAGTTTTCCCTGGGCCAGCACCGCATAGGAAGGTGAGAAGGACTCAAGTGCACACAATGCTGCTGTACCACACAGCATCCCTTCCCAAGACCTGATGCTTCAGCCCAAGGGTTGGACCAGACCATGACCCACCTGCAGTTGATGGAGAGTGGGTGCCAGAAACACACAGCTGCCTGAAGCTGGAAGCAGCAGTGCTTCTGCCTGTCATGATCCATAGCTGTTGGGAGAAGACTGGAGTAAGTGACTCCTACTGTAACACACTGCCTGTGGGAGAAGGGCCAAGACACTCCTTGGCTTCCCTTGGCATTGCCATGCCCGTCTCTGCAGTGAACTGCCCGGCGGCCTGGGCAGGCTGTGCTTCCTGCAGACCTCCCAAGCTCTTGGACCCCTAAACTGCATCCTCAACATGACAGAGACACAGTCCTGTCATGTTTCAAAGCACAGTTCTCAAAGCATCTCCGCTCTCAGACTGTCCCACTGGGGCCAAGGGACACTTCCCCTGTCCTGAGGCAAGGACTCTCTGAGCAGCCTGGCGTCACCTGGGGTGACACATGGTCAACAGAAGAGGGGGTGATGGACCTCCCCCCTCAGCCACCACTTTGTGTGATTGTGTCAGGATACACTGGAGCAGAAAGGTGTTTGGTTTCACTGTAGCCTTGGATCACGGAGGATGGAAAGACGGATTCTGACCAACAGCTCCAAACTGTCCCTACAGGACAGTGGAAGTTCCAGGATTTCACTCAGTCAGGTCAAAGTCCTTGCTGGGTTTGTGACAAATTTGTGACTGGAGACTCTCACTGTGACAGAGGCTCTGACTGAGCCACAGGTGCCGGGCAAGCCTGATGAGCAGTCAGGAAACTATTTACATCTCCGATGCCAATGAGACCAAAATCTGTGACCGATAAGGACACTTGCGCAGGGGCTACCACTGCCTCTGGGTCTCTGTCCAAATTCACAGGGCCAGCAATTAAAGGCAACCCCTCGTTAATGTCTGCAGGGAGAGTGAAGTCCATAGTTATCGTCTCACCGGAGCTCTGCAACGTCTCCTGCTTCTCTGACAGTCCTGCCGGCGGCAAAGCAAAGAGCTCCGGCTCGGAGTGGGGGACAGTGTGTCGTTGGCAGGACGCTGAGACACCGCCTGAGGATGTCTCCTCTGCGGGGTCAAAGGAGCAATTCGTCTCTGAGGGGGTGCTGCACTCATAGCCCTGCCCCGACTCACTGATGCTGCCCAGGCTGCAGGCTGTGCTCTCCACGCTCAGGGGCTCTGCATACACAGAAAAGGAAAGAGGACACAGCAAGGGAAAGAAAGCTACAGTGAGTCTGTAATGCACAAACACCCAGGTCAACCCCACCTAATCACAACAGTATTTGTTTGATGGCACAAATGTTTCTTTATTACAGCAACCAAGATCCCTGCCAGCATGTACCGAAGAAAGGCAAGATGCCGACAGCAGATGGGAGGCCATCAGTGTTTCTATGGAAATTAAAGGAAACCTCACAGACACATTCCAAGATAAGCCAAATCCTAAATCCTACCCGCTCATGCCAACAGCTCCTGGGAGCTGCCCACACAAAGCCTTCATCTGCAGTAGGACAGTGAGGGAATGAACCCATGTTGGGTTTCCTGTGAGTCTTCTCACAGCCAGCTCTGTCTGAAAGCAGCTTGCACCTACAGCCTGACTTCTGGGGCCTTAACCCAGTCTCTGGAGGAGCTACCTGTGTCAGTACACTGAAAGGACCTCACTCAGGTGCCCAAAGTTAGTGCATAATTCTTTTGCTTTGGGAATGACCTAGGCCACCCCTGTGAGCCCAACACAGGAACAACTGTTTTATAGTCACCCCTGGTCAATGCAGAGACAGACAAGACTCTTCTGCTCACACCAAAGCCTGCATGGGACTGGTATTTAACAGGGGGCAAGGTGAGCACACCAGCAAGGTGCAGGGAGAAGAGCAACAGCAGGATAATGGCAGCAGGAGAAAGGCAAAGGAGGGGCTGTGCCACTGAGTGTGGGAGACAAGTGATCCCCATGGCTGACATAAAAAAAGGAAGTTACCTGTGCTCTCTATTGCTATCTGATCTTGACCAAAGTGAGCATTCAGACAGCCAGTTGCAGAGGGAATTGGTGGGGAGCTCCGGGAACGACTGGTGTTTTCTACTTCAACCCCATCCAGGTCATTGTCAGTGAAATCCCTGTGGGAAAAGAGAGCGAGCCTTGCCACCACCTTCTAAGCAGAGGTGCAGGCAGGAAAAAGGGTGACTGGGATTAAAACCTATCAACAAATAAAGCAATGGGATTGTGGAGACATCACTAGAATGCATGTCCATCCCTCCTTGATCTGCAGAGTCCAGTTTAGACTCTGCCCTGAGGACGTGATGGCAGCATGGCCAAGACCAGCCCGTGATAAATCAGAACAGGCTCTCCAGTTTCCTAAAGAGCTCTGCCCCCAGTTTTTCCAAAGGGAAATAAATGGTCAAATGCCCAGGAACACCCAGTTTCATGGAATGACTGCAGTCGCTCCTTAGTGTGTCAGCAAAGTGATGAGAACATATTTTTCTACCACGGAAGAATTTAAGATTTCAGGTATTTTCCTCTCTTGCATCAGAATTTAAAAAAAAAAATCTAAGCCTTCATCTAATGTTTTTAATTGATTCAGCTTCAATATTTCATTTTGACCTTCTAAGACATTTCACTTTCAACCTTTTTGAAAGGATATATTTTGAAAAGTATCTTCTGTAATTAGCATACATTTCAAAGTGAAGAATTTGCCTCAAAGGGCGACAGCAGGAAAATTAATTCAGATTCCGAACCATCAGAAATAGTGGTTTTGAATTTAGAAAGCTCCCTTCCCAAAACCTCATCAAACTTAGTTATTTCCTTGAAATCAGCTGTGAATCCCTGACCCCAGCCTTAACTTCTGTGGATGCATTTGCCTGAAACAAAACTATTTTTAACACAAGAAAGTATACATCCAAGGAAAGAGTTCTTTATCTTCCTTCCCCACACCAACAGTGTTTGTGTTCTGAGAACATCCTGTGCGTCCCTCCATCCTCCCACCCAAGAAGCCTTCTAGAGAAGAAGGCGCAGTCTATTAAGCGGAGGTGCTTTGCAGCAGGAATCTTTGCTGGGAGGTTAATATTACTAATTTTAGTGTGAGAATATTCCACGCACGTGGCTCCAGGGTGGAGGACGTACTTCTTCCTTCCTAAACGAGTCTGCTGAGTGAAGTAGTCATAGCGCTCTGATTTTTTCCACATATAATAATACTCCACACACTCGCCCACTGACCGGGTGCGGACCTGAGGAGAAACATCCCAGTCAGAACACCATGCGTCAAGGTGTATCTCATGGAGCAGGAGCTATTTTCCCATTTAACCAGCACAGAAAATTAAGTGCATTACAGAAATTTATATTGCTACGGACACATCTATGCTGCAGAACAGAAGCACGTACTGAGATTTCCGAGGTGGCGATCTGCCAGAGAAAGAACTCCCCACAGTGCACAGCTGTTCTCACAGACCCATGTGGGCCAGACATGTACACTCGTGCAGGACTTCCCTGCACTTCCAGCAGCAGCACACTTAGCAAATAGAGCAAACCTGCATCCATTTTCGCTGGCCAGCATCAACATGCCCACAGTTAACCAGTGGTAGAACTGGACTCTCTGGTTCTGCCAACTCCCAGCACAGCAGCATGTCCCGTGGCCCAGCTCTCCCTACAACAGCATCTGCCATTCTAGAGGACCCCAGGGGACTTTACAAAACATCCACATGCTTAACTCACTCATTCACAGAAGTACTGCAAGGGCTGAGAGTTTGGAAAGAACTTTTGAGACTCCAGAAAGGGCTAATCAGTAATTAACTGACATCACTCATGCAGGTCAGTGGTGTTTGTGACTTCTCCCACCTGGAAAATAAGGCAGAGCAGGGCAGTGAACAGCCCATCACCTGCTGGCATGAGTCAACACAAAGCCTGGGATTGGAACTCGGCAATCCTGAACTCCCTGCATCAGCCGAGGCCCAAAGCACACCTCTGGTGCCAAAGCACCTGCCTCCTTCCCCTGATCTCAGCAGAAGCTACGGGGAGCAGCCTTACCTTGTTTGCTTGGATAAGGTGAAAGTTTTTCCCATGGACCCTAAAGCCATGTTCAAAATTTCTACATTCTTCCTCACTCCAGGCACAAAGCTCATCTATAGCAGAGAGAAAGAGGAATTGGAGATGTACAGAATCTAGAAAGAGTTGTGCGTTGATGTCTGGGGTAGAACCCAAATAAGGGTGGTTCTCACCTCTGATAACCTTCACGTTGAACCGTAACCTCCGTAGTGCCTCTTCTGCGTTGAAGTTGCATTTCACCAGCTCGTACAAAGCCTAAGAAACAGAAGGAAATCACTCACAGCACGTACCTTAGCAACATACCACAAACCAGCCTGCTCAAGACTCATGTTTGCCTCATAAAACTTATATTTCAGATTATTCCACTTTTTAAGGCACTGGATTAAAAACCCCGGGACTGGACAGATGCAGTTCCACCAGCAGCTCTGCAGATTACAGGTGTGCCTTTGTGTTCCTGGAGACTCACTTCCAGAATCTAACCAGGCTAACTTAGAGGAAACACAGCTGCTCTGATACAGTTGATCTGCTGGCTTTTCTAGTCTTCCCATTGGGAGGGTGACTGACTCCTCACACCGCAGCTGGGCCGTGCACCCTCACTTATCTGTGAGGCTGGAGCAGGGGATCACTAAAATTAGACCTCATTCTGACCTCTGCAGGGAATGTGGCACTGTCAGGCAAGTACCACTTGGGCCTGCATGGGCTGCAGCAGCCACTGAGCTCACCTGTTCATTGTCCTTTACCACCTCTCCTTCTGGCAGGCTGCTGCTGGACAGCTCGTCCCACTGCCGCTTCACAGCGCGGTACAGGAACTCTTCAACCTCTCTCTCAGGGAGGATGTTTGGGTCCCAAAGCAGCTGATCTTCATTCTCATAGGCTAACAGAAAAAGCACTGAAATAAGATAATCAAACAGAGAATTCTGCTGCTTTTGAGAAATGGTCTGCATGGACATGCATGGAGGAGATAGAAGAGGGAGGAAACCTTTGCTTGGTACTCCAACCCAGCACTAGAGATGACAACCATCTCTCATCTGCCTCCTGATTTTGGAGGCAGATAAGCTCTTTACATCCCCTTTAGGGCCCACGGAACAGGCTCAGCTTGCTTCCATTGCTTCAGAAGGGTTGGCTGACAAAGTTTTTGTTACCGTGTTCTCAAAGACTGTTGCTGTGGTTAATTAATCCCGGCAACTAAAGACCCCTTTAGCTTTCTTGTCCAGAAGCTCAAGAAGCTGGCACTTGTACTACGCTCATTATTGGGCACAATCTGCAAATCAAGGCACCTCTGTCTGCTCTGCAGATATCCCACCAAATAAGAAACAGATCAGCTCCAGGGAGCACTGAATGATAGTAACTCGGGCTACTTAAGGAAGATGTCAGAGAGAATAAATTTGAATACTTCCAGAAGGGTATACCTTCCCTTTGGCAACAGCTGAGACCCCCTCCTCCAAACCTGTCATGCCAACCCAGTTCTCATTGAGCTTCACCACTTCTGTACCTGTGTTCCCAGCCCTATTCAATCAGGCTCATTTAAGCCAGCTCAGATGTAGCTGTAAATTTGGCTGTCAGCACTGAGAGGTGCCAAGTCTGGAGATATAGGACTGGTGATCCAGGGCCCACCAAACGCCCCGGCCAGCAGCCCAACACCCAGCAGCCCTACAAGCAAACAAGGCACAAAGGGCAGGCTGCCTTACCTTTTTGCCTGTGCCTGTTTAAGCGGAGGATGGGAACAGTGGCCTGATACTGAGGTCCAACCATGATCTCCTGAAATACCACCACAGAGAGGCAGGTAAACTGAAATGGAAAATGTTCTGCGCAGACTGTACTTCGTGATTTAGGGACTATACCACCGTGAGGCTGATGTATTTACTGGTAGCCCCTGCCATTACTATTATTTCTAGTGAACCCTGGCTATTTTACAGAGTAATTGAGGAAATTTACTATCGACCAGATCATACTGTGGTGACCTTTGGCATTTACATAGTTTTAATGTTAAAGATCTATGGCAAGCAGCTAAGGCTGGAGATAAAGCTTTTTAACACAAAAGCTCTCCTGCAACCTTCACAGCCAGGATGATTTTGGGAGCTTGCTCCTCTCTTTAGCAAGATCGTTCCCTCTCAGTAAATCCTGCTGGGAATATTGCATAGCATTTCACCTTTATAGGGCTGTGCTGCAGATTTAATTTACCAAGGAACAACAGATTTCCCATATCTGAAGAAGAAAATTTCAAGACTGTATTAAAAACCCCTCTTGTAACCCACATCTACCACTGCCATCCACAAAATGCAAGGCACAGAGCAACAGACTGGAGAAACATTACAGTGCTTTGGTGCCGAGTTTCTTGAAACTCAAGAGTACTGTACAAGCTCCCCTTCCCAATGCGCTCAGGTCATTTACCTTCTTACACTCGTTGGATGGGATGGAATCCACCTCTGAATCCTCAGCCATAGAGGAAGCACATGGAGATGAACAGGGCTCTTTGTCTTCATCAGCAAGGAAGTTGTTTGCTTTGTGGGAGAGGAAAGGATCTGTAGTTATGAATTTTTTTTTCTGTTGCTCTATGTTCCCTCTCCTTCCCTTCATTTTTCTGTCCTAATGTTCCTTTCAGCATGGTCTGCAGTGACAACTTACCTGTATTTTAATTTTCTCACTTTAAATAAAAGAATTTGTACACTTGTCACTCGGGTGGTGATGGCCAACCTGGGGAACTCAGTCATTCTGCAGGATAGCAGAAGGAATAAATCCACTTCCTGATGAGTCTCTGTCACCTGCTTTGGCTTCCCACATATTCCAACATTTAGGAACTGCCACAATGTATCACTCCACTAGTGCTACTGAATTTATTTACTTGTAGCAATGTCAGAGGAGGTACTGATCTTTCACACTGTAATTACAGTAGGTAGCAAAACAATTTCCACTTTCTCAGTGTTCTGAGTTACAGCTAAAGACAATTCTCCCCTCATGTCGCTGCTCATCTACACTCCATCCTGGCCTAACCAATGCCCAGTAACACCACTGCCATGTAGATTTATGGACAGTCCCCAGAAGAGAAGTGGAAAATCTGTTGTCAAGAAACTGACAAAATAAAGAAAACCATTCTTGCCCTCCCCTGCAGTTCCTGAACATCACATGTAAATGAAGAGCGACTACTTAGGAACTATGACACATACAGCCAGGCTGGTTTGGGAATAAGTCTGACGCATCGTGGGACGTGACGGATGGAGTCAGATCGTCAGCTGAAGACTGTGTCTCCTCCTCTTCTTCCCCTGAAAGCAAATCCTTCGCTATTTGTTCCTTTTAACAACAACAAGAAAGTGAAAAACATTTTTAAATTAAAAAAAATATATGAGGGGGAGCGAGGCCTAGAGTAAAGCATTTCTAGCCAAGAGTGGCCACATCCACAGATCTCCTCACCCTCCCACAGCTTGTCCAAAGACAGATTCTCTCTCACACTCCCCACCACACCCAGATTATTTTCCCTAGAAGTACTTTTGCAAGTGTCATGAGTGGCTACCTATGGAAGCCAGAGCGGATGAGCAAGTGGCCCTTTCTGTAGAACTCCACTCATAGCAAATATCTCAAAGATCCTGAGAGAAAAAAAGAAAAAAGCACTTTCTACAGACTTTAGCCACAACAGGAGAAGCCATGGCTTCACCTGGGAAGATAGAAACCTTCCCTGGCTCTCCACAGATCCACAGCTATGTGCAAAGACTTGCAACCCAAGTTCCACGAAGAGTTTTTACAGAGTTCTTTTTAAAATAGATATTCTTTCTCCCATCTCTAAATGCTTTACATTCATGTTTCTGCACCTCTGGGACACCAGAACCAGGCAGGCCCTTCCCCTGGCATTGGGCAAACCAGTCTGAAAAGAGCTCCTCAAGCTCCCTGAGCTCCAGCACAACACAGTAACCTGCAGCAGACACCCAGGCAAACAGCAGCTCTCACCTTATCCAGGGTCATATCAGGGAGATTTGGAGTGATGTCATTGCTCTCACTGTCCTGCTCAGAGATGGGATCAGATGCCTCATAGCCATACAGTGCAAGCAGCTCCTCAAATGGCATTTCACTGCTCTGAGCAAGAGGAGGACAAAGCTGCATCAGGAATAGAACAACCACAAGAGCATACCACCAGCTGTATGAACACGGACGTGCAGAGGGAATCAGGGCAGCCTTGGGTAACGCTGCACGATGACCAAGGTAGGGTCTGTCAGGATCCACCAAAACCTGTTCCTCTAATGGTACAGAAAAGCCAGGAACTTTCACCCCAAAGCAGTACAGTTTAGGGCATTTTAAAAATACATTTCTCTTTTATATTAGATTTCAAGCTGGTGAAAAGGTGCCAAACTGCACATGTGTATTTAACCAGAGGAAGGGAAGGAGCAGATCCTTGTATTAGTCTTGTGTCTGGCCTGAAGAGACATTCCCTGTCACCAAGAACATGGTTTGTGTTCCACCAAGGTCTCTGTGGGACCACCCAGAGCAGCACATGCCAGCTTATCTTTGTAGCTCCTCCACTGTGAAACACTGACCACAGTCCCAGCAGCTGATGGCTCTTCAGCAAGGTGAGCCAGGACCACCTATCAGAGTGGCTACTTGGCAGAGGAAGACTCCAAAATTCACCGCTGTCATGTGTTCTCAAAACCATTCCTTCTGATCCAAATGCAAACCTGACTCACTGTTGGGTGACCTGAGCCCAGTGTGCTGCCAGCTAAGCAAGTCAGGGCTTCTCACCAAGGTCTTTGGTACCAGTACTGTAAAAGCAAACAAGCAAATCCTGCAGGTAATTTCCCTTCCCCTGCTGCCTTTACCTGAGAGGCACTGAAACTCTTTTCCAGCTCTTCTAAAGATTTCTGCTTCTCCTGAGTATCATCTTCTTCCCTTTCTTCCCGTACACCGTAGTTCTGTGAAAGGATCTCTGCCAGGTTCAGTCGATGATCAGCTGAGCCCATTGACACAACTGCAGGGATAAGAAGTTGGATACTAGCACCCCAAAGACCAAATCTTGAGATGCAACAAAGCCAGGGATGATCCCCTCTTGTGTGTGTGCAGACATGATAAACCAGAGGAAGAGATTAGTCAGACGTAGTGAGGAGGGTGGGGAACACAACTGGCAGCAGTCACTCCGTCAGCACAGAGTCTGCTTCTCTGCACATTCGAGTCCCACAACTGACTTAAAGCTGAATCTGAAGGTTTTCTGAGTATTTGTGTCTCTCCTGACTGGACTCACTAGTGTCACAACACGTGAGCACACACTGCAGCCTTTCCTTCATCCAGGGCATTTTTAGGGCAATTACCCCTTATTCAAGAATGGGCAAATGGACATCTGTAGGAGCTTTGGCATCTTTAAGCCTTTCCTTCTCTGTCAAACGGTACAACAATCAACCAACAGGCTCAGGAGGTGTGGAAGGAGGAGGGAATAGATAGGCTGATCACAGGAACTTTGTTTCCTCTGGAAACTAGACCAACAAACAGAGGCATCTTTGAACCTGAGGTACCTGCTGCACTCTGAAGGGCGGGCTCTCCAGGACATAGGCTGCGGGCTGGGTATGGGACCACCCTCGGGCTCTGCCGGCCAACTGAGGCCTTCAGGAAAAGAGAGGAACATGGTTGAGACAGCTCTTCTTAAAAATGCAACACCCCTCCATCCACTTAACCCCACCAACAAATGCAATGAATTTAAGTTCAAAGTAAAAGTTACCCAAAACCCCACAGGACAGCACCAAGAATTGTGCTGTGTAAAGAGAGCTCATCAAGTGTATTGAACAGTTATTTCCAGCCTGCTCTCCACCGGCCTACTCACGTTCCCCTTAGTCTCTGACTCCATGAGGATGTGCTTCCAGTTCATCTATTTTACCTTCAGTACTCCACTCATTACTTATCCTCTCACCAGTTTAAGACCTGACCTTCATGAGTTACATCTTCCCTTAAAAGAAAGACCTGGACTCTCAGCTGTTATTCTAAACACAAACATCATGTCTGAGCACAGCGTTTTTAGAGACTGACCCTTCAGAGAGACAGTCCGAGGCAGCCGGCCACAACATGCTGGTTTCTCCCTAACGCCTCACTGCACCCAGGCGGTCAGGGGTGTGAGCAAAGGAACAGAGCTGAGCAGGCAGTGAAGGAGACTGGTACAGGCAAGGAGGGAGAGGTTGAGCCAGGCAGACACCGCCAACAGGCACCTGCAGTGTGGCATTCAGTGCTCAGTCACAAGTTCAGGCAGCAGCATGGGCTGAGGCCTGGAAAACGACCCAGAACATCTGCTGCTCCTTGGGCTGCTGTGCACTTCGGCCCAACAACGTGCTCAAGTAACACTGGCACAATCAAATGCAGCAGCCTTAGTGCTCCATCAAAGGCCAAACTGTAGTGGATGGGTTGAGAGACCAGACAGCACCTTCATCATTCAGAACAGTGAAAGACCCTGGAAGTGAAGCCCTGCCCTCAGAGAGATCCAAAATGCTGCCACGGAGCAGCCATCTAGCTCAATGTCTTCCCAGCACCCTTATTCCATGTCACAGTCACCATGAGGGTCTCATGATGGAAATGAAGTGTGGATGTGTCACAACAACCACTACAACAGGTCAGGGATATTTGAGGACCATGGCAAGACTCGATGAAGAATGGCATCACCAGCTCTAAGTGTGGCATAACAATGTCATAAACGTTTTGGCATAAGGCACCAAGACAAACATGACGTGGCAACAGGGGAGGCAGCGGGGGGTCCGTGCCTAGCCCCCTAACCGAGGTGGTGAGAACCATCCTGGCCACCCAGACACACCGTCCCCACCACCTTTCCCAGCGCTCTGCCCCTACAACGGCCCCGACCTCCGTGCTCTCCCACTGCCCGGGCCTCTCTCGCCTCCAGGCTCCGCGAGCCCTTCCGAACAGCTTCGCACCCCCGACCCTGGCTCCAGCCACCCCACACCGCCGCTGTCGGGCACTGCTGGACCACAGTCTCGGGGTTCCTGCTCCGCCCCGGCGCCTTCCCGCCCACCTTCTCCGCCCCGCAGTCCCGCAGCCCCCGGCCCGGAGACCCCTCCGGCGCCTCTCCTCGGCCCTCTCCCGCGGGTCAGGCCGCGGGGCTCCCAGCCCGCCGCCGCTCGCCCCGACTCCCTCGCCGAGTCCCGCCCAGCAGCCCCTTCCCCTGCCCACCCCCGCCGGCGCCCCCTGCCCGGCCCCAGCGCCCCTCGGCCCCAGCCCACCCCACCCCTCGGCCCGCTGCCGCCCGGGGCCTCGGCGTCGCGAGGGACCCCGCCCCGCCCCATCACCCCGCGGCCGTAGGACCCCGGCCCCGGGCGGACACGGCTCGGGGGCCCGGAGGTCGCAGTGTCCCCGCCCGGCCGGGAGCGGCCCCGGGCCCGGCACGACCCCAGCGGCGGCTCCGCGCTCACCTCCGCCATGGCCGAGCGCGAGCGGCAGGGGGCGCGGGCCCCGGATGCGGCGGCGGCCGCTCATTGGCTGCGGAGCCTCGGGGGTGGGGCCGGGCCCAGGGGCGCCCGAGGGTCCGGGGTTGGGGTCCCGGGTTCGGGTCCCGGTGAGGCCGGGCCGGGCGGGATCTGGGGCAGGGCCGGGATTCGGGGCCGGGGCCGGGTGGGGGGCCCGCCTCGCCCCGCCGGCATCGCCCGGAGGCGCCTCCGAGGAAGGGGAGCGGCGGTGGCCGCAGCAGCGCTGTGGCCCGGGCAGCGCAGAACCCGGCCGGGGCGGGCGGGTGTAAAGGCCCAGGGAAGGTGCGCAGCTCCCCTGGGGCCTGGCCTCAGGAACACACCGGGGACCACACACGTCAGAGGAAAAACAGTACTTACAGCCCCAACCTGTGGCTTCTTCATGGATCACAAAACTTGAGTCTCCAGGAAACACCTTCAGTGATACTCGTGGGGCACTTTGTTGAGAAAAAGTCACTGCATCTCATTTAGCACTTACAGAAGAGGGAGATCAGGGTGGGAGCCCGGGATGGTTCTCACAAAGACTGGGATGTAAACACTGTCTCATAGTTCCTTGCTGTGGCTGTGTTTTGGGGACCCCAGAGATACGTTTGTGGAAGCTGCTTGATCGGTCTTTCCAGATTTGTTTAACTGATGATGACCACATGCTTCCAGAGAGCAATCCTCCAGCATGCTTTGTCCTTTAGTGTCACCCATCTTCAGGGCTTCCTGTGGCACATGGCCCTGCCAGAGAGCCCTGGCCCCTCAGGGACCCCCTGGGCAGCAGGGCAGCACTTCCCTCATGGTGTTTGGTGATGAGCTGCCAGTGCCACTGGCAGGGTGCTCAGGAACATTTACCACAAGATCTTACTATTTGATCAGGTCCTGTGGATTGTCCTCCCACTCACGCCAATGCCTGTGCCTGGATCTGCAGCTGTGGAGCTGTGCTTGTGTAGGCCTTGTGCTCAGTTTCTGGGAGCAGCCTCCTCACCCTGGCAGTTGGCTCCATGCTGGGTTTCAATCACACTTTTGAGCTCAGGAAGCAAAGTGTTATCAAGTGCTTCTGAAGTGGTGGTGGCCCTTGAGCTGAGAACCAGAGCACTTCACTAGGCCTTTGTTCCATTGCTCGGAGCTGTCTGGCTCTTCTCAAAGGACTAACAGCTTGCAGATACTGTTTGTTCAATTAAAAGAGTAACCTTGTCTCTAGCTTCAGAGAAACGTGTGCAAAAGCTGTTTTCTGCCTTGCTCTCAGCAGTGCGTCCAGGTGTTCTGTCGCCACAAAAAGCAGAAAGGTCAGGGTTTTGAGTCAAGGCCTGCGGTTTGAGTCAAGACCTGGGGTTTGGTTTAAGGCCTGGGGTTTGGGGTTAAGGTCTAGGGAGAGCTCCCCTCGTTACTGAGGGTCTGCCCTGGAGCAGTGCCCCTGCCAGCTTCTGGTTCTCCATTTAGTGCTTGCAGTGACAACTGCGCGGCTGAGTCTCTTCAAGCAGCTGCACTTCCCTGAGGGAGCAGTGGAACACTTGTCCAGAGACACCTCCATTGCTGAGTACATAAATTTCTGTCCCCAGAGTGACCAGCGCGCATCCTGCAGCCCTGCCAGGCTCTGCAGGCAGCACATCATCTGTCCCTGGAACCGATGGGTGTGTGAGCAAAGGCAGCCCTGCATCAGTACCCTATGTCAGAGACATTAATGCCTGACATTCAGCACTTTGAGATTTTCAAAGGCAATAAAAAAAGTCTGACAGGTATTGGAATATCAGGTGGCTCACCCTCTCCAGCTGTTTGTGAGTGATAAGTCATGACACTCCTGACAGGAGCAGTTGTACAGTTGCTGCTCCGTCGGTAAAGACAACGAATCATAGAAGGTTGAAGTAGCTTTGACTTAATCTGGGGCTGATTTGCCTGCTAAACTGGGCTGGCTCTATGTCCCACCCTCCTTTCTCTCCTCCACCTATGCCCTGCCTGTTAAGCCATGCTGCTTCTTGGAAAAGCTTTGCAGCCCTGAGACGAATGGAAAACCCTTTTTCACTTGATGCAGCTTAGCCATGGGGTGTTTAACCACAAGGGATTGTAGATATAAATAAGTTTACATGGGTTCCAAAAAGAATGTTGATAGGAAAAAAATTGTATCAATATTGGTAAAGGACTGACCCATGTGTGGGAAGGGGGAGGTTTGTGTCGGGCTGTGTCCTGCCACAGGTGCAGGGTGGGCTCAGTGCTGAGGAGGGCACAGACCTGCTTGGACAAGCTCTGACTATAAAGAAACTCTGGGTTTCCAGTCGGTTGAGGCTGTTGACAGACCTAACAGCTTCAATGCTTAACAAAGCAGCTGTGAATTAGGCTTTAGAGAAGCATCAGTTTTCACCAATGCTAGATGGAGCTCTGCTACTCACAAACACCACACTCCTGTAGGCTTTCAGACAAGTGTTTATACTTTCGAAGGTGTTTGTGTCTCAGGATCCACCGTGGCTGTCAGCTGTGCAACACAGCTTACAGGGGCCTTTTCCAGGTTCGCTGAGGTAGTTAGGCCAGGTGATAGGATGGGTGGGGCAAGATGAGTGTCATGGCTACAGAGTTCCATTCTTGTCCTGCTCTTCTCCCTCTCTTCTTCCACTTCAAGTCATCACAACCTACAAATGTGATTTATTTACAGTCAAAATACTTACTATATCATGGTCTCTGCAGGGCTCACAAAAATGGACACAATATCTACAGATGTAAATTCAGTGCAGCCATGGGGATGAGTCCAGACAGTCAGATAATGCCCAGGCTACCATCCTGTGTGCTGGAACACCAGCTGGCATTGCAGGGGCAGGCAGGAAGATGTGTTTTGACAGCAGTTTGAGTAGAGACGCCAAGGGTTTGCAGCTTCTCAGCCTTTGCGCTGGCACAGCTGCCACATAAAGCACCCATGGGATGGTGAACCCTTTGAAGATGTCGACGTTCTGAAAAGGCCAGCACTGAGAGCACAATGATGTCTTTTCCCTCACACACCCTGCTGAGTGGTAACAGCCAGAGGTCCAGCCGAGGGAACAGCAATGCCACACAAAGCCTCTGCTGCCAAGGGACACACTGGCTGCTCACTGGCATATTGTGCAGTGCCCCCCTCACCTGCTGTTTCCCCACTCAGCTCCTGTGGGATCGATCCTGCAGCCTGTGAAGCTCCTGCTTTTGAAACATATGCTGAAGGCAAATATTCTTTGCTGGTGTCAATAATTAATAGCAGGTATTTGACGAAGCATGTGTGGAGACCGGCCATGCCTGGACTTGGGTCCCTGTGCCCCTGTGCCGTGGTGCAGGGTGGTCCCAGGACCCCCTCATTGACCCAGCTGGGGGATATCATCCCCCTCCAGCCTTGGGCCTGTCTCTGCCAGCCCTTGGCTGCATACACATATGTGTGTACCTGTGCACATGTTCCTGGGTATCCTCACACACTCACCCCTTCAAACATCCCCTCCCCCTGTGCCTGGGGGGCTGCTTGTTGTCACCCCAAGCTGGTGATGCCAGGAGGGAGCTAAATGAGGGACTGCTGATGAGGAACTCATTAATTCTGGTGCCTGTTGCCTCACAGGATGATAAAACGCTGCATCCTTCTGGAGCAGTGGGCTGCAGCGGCAGGACTGCGAGGGAGCAGTCTGGCCATCCCACACCCCTCCCACTCCCGGCCCCCCACATCCTGCACCCTTGTGTCCTGACATACAGCTTGCATCCAGCCCCCATCTTCCCCTGGCAGATGACCCAGGAGGCGTGGGAAGATTGCAGGATGGATGAAGGCTGCTGAACATGTGGGTTAGCAGCTGGGCTTGTGCAGGCAATGTATCCACCACAGTGGCAACCTTGCAGCAGTGGCTCGCTGGGATTTGAAGGGGCGTGCATGCTCAAACAGCACACAGAGCAGGAATGCTACCCTCCTTTCCAGCCCTGCACACCCAGAGATGCCTCAGCACGGCTGGCATGTGACTGTGTGCCCACATGCAAGCGTGTGCCAGTGCATGGGGTAGCATGTTCACGGGGCACCAGCACGTGTTGCTCCAACTACCTGGACACTGGCAGAGGCTCTGGTGGTACCTGGCAGCATTCCTAATGAATTCAACGATGCCCTTCACATCAAACAGCCACAGGAGAAGGCATTCTTCAGCCCCATCTTTATTCAATGCGCCGAATATGCCGCTCCTGTGCCTCACACTTGCAAACATCTTGTTCACAGCTGCAGCTTAAAAGGACCGAGGGAGAAGGAGTGGGAGGCTGTGAGGGAGGCAGGGAGTGTGCTGGGGCTGCCTGTGGTCACCATCCCCCATCATGGAGGAGCTAAGACCCCTGGACACCACCGCAGCTCTGCTCCTCTGGGGTGCCCACAGCCAGCCCCACTGCTGGGACCCGCCTTTCCCCAGCCACCCTGCAGAGCCATGTGAGGTGCCTTGGACAAGGCCTAGGGCTGGCAGCCAAGCAAAGGGGCAGGAGGTGGACAGAGGGCAAGGGAGTTCTGTCCTACTCAGAGCTGCCTCTGCTCCCTCCTCTTCTTCCCTGTTCCACTTTCAGCCTGCGCCATCCATCTTGCAAGGCTGAAACCCAATTACCATCCCAGGGAGGGGGTGGTGCAGCGGCAGAGATGTCCATTAGCCTAAGGGATGGAGATGGAGTGATAGGACCTCTAATGGCCCTGATTACAGCCTGGCTACCCCAGCTGCAGGGGTTGACATCAGAGCGATTCAGCCCTGGTTTGGTGCACATTTGGAGCCATGGGCATATACACATGTGCCTGTGTATGCTTGCACAACTTAAAGCCACTCCAACACCCACAGGAGCTGCCCCAGACATCTTGACTGTAAAGCAGCCCAGAGCTGTTCCCTTCCCACTTTCACTTGTCCCACTGGAAGGAGGATATTTGGTAGTGGAGCCTGTTGAGTTCTGAAGTTTAATTAACCCCATCTCCCCCCTGCACAGCCTTCCCTTCCTCTACTCAAATGCCACAAATGATCCTATGCAATTGCTAATCTGCAGA